TCCACAATGTATCTCTCCTTGCTCAGTGCATTTCCCATGATCCTGTGCGGTTGCATCATAGACCTTTCAGTTTCTCAAGTCCTAGTGGCTCCCCCTGGTGATTGTATTCTTAACAGCACTGATGCCAGCATAGGAATCCTGTTTCGGGACATAAGGGGGCTGCAGCACAACTGTCTGTTGTTGCTCTCCGCTGGCTAAGCACCTAGCTACACATACACACACCTCTCTCTTTTTCAAACCATTTTGCAGCTGTGTTCTATATTATACTATTTATGTATCCTAAAGTTCTATTCTGTAGACCTTCACTAGCCTACAAAATATACAACTTCTAAAACTTTCCATTGCATCCTGTTTCCCAGCATGGTCATTGACAAAACAAATTTTTTTTTGAGAGTTATTTGTGCGTCTCTTTGCTGGAGGCATGTTCATTATTAAAATCTTAGCAAAACTAAAATTTGCTTTTTAGCACCTGGCAACACAGTTTCTAAATATTCCCCCCTGAGTAATAGTTCTGTTCTTTTCAATGGTGAATGTTGTCTTTTTAGTGTCCTCGGGGTACTAACAAAGCAGACATACTGTGCTTCATTCTCAGACACATTACCGAGCACACCCGGCATGAAAGCAATAAATCCTTATCTTCATTATAGCTAGTACAGTAGGCAGTTATGTCTCAGTTCATCACACTTATCTTACTGCTGCCTGAAACCTAGGCAGACATCACAGCTGATTATTTTAGAGACAAACTATAGTGTCCATTTAAAGACTAGAGATTAAAACTAAGTATTCAGAATTATGTAAAATATAGCATAAAGCGGTCCTAACAGTATTTGAAAAACTGAGACTAAATATAGAAAAGAACAATAACCACGTAGAATTAAAAAAAAAACACAATTTAATACAGAGTATTACTATTAACAAGAACTGAGAAGTACAACAACATGGAGAGTGACCAGAGAGTCATGGACATGTCCTGACCCCTGTGAAATGTTAGATTCATCTAGCAGTTATCCACTGTGCACAAGAAGCAGGATGAGGTCAGACCGCAGTTACATCTGGCATACTTCTATTACATGCAGCTGCAATATTAGGAACATTACAGCCCAGGGGCGGACTGACCATTCGGGTACTCGGGCACTGCCCAAGGGCCCAGGGTCAGTAGGGGGCCCCATGAGATGCCCCTGGTACCTTCCATAGGCTTTTTTGGGTGTGGTTTGAGTGTGGGCGAGGACACAGGGGTCAATGATCCCCTATTGCCCGGGGGCCCCATGAGTTGTCAGTCTGCCCCTGTTACAGTCAACTTGCTTTTGCAACTCATTTGTTCTTAACCTATACAGCAATTTGCAATAAACAAAAAATACCAGTTCTCTCATTGGCCAAATGTGGAGATGGATTTTGAGGACTGTTGGGTTCTTCCTATGCTTTGTGCCCCTCTAATTACAAAGCCTGTATTGCTGATTGAGACCTACAACCAAATACACTCTTATACATGTTGATAAATAATGTGTATAACTGCCCTTGACGACTTGCCTAAATACCTGTGTACAATATCCTTGTACCACTTGCAGGCCACATCCTATTGGCAGCAGAACAGGAGATCTGCTACAGTGCTGCATAGAAGCCATTTTGTCTTGAGAGTTATTTTGGAACCTTTACATACATGCCATTAAATGATTGATCGTTCTGTGAAAGAGTTTAAAAGTGTAGGGATTTGTTTTTTAAATGTCAGTATAGAAGAATTCTGCCTGAATAAGCAATGTAGGGAAAAGATTTGCGGATAATAAGCATGAGTTACGCGCTCTAGCCAGAAGTTACTTTCAAAATCAACTTAAACGAGTTTCTGTGGTTTTTCTTTCACCATCTGGCTTAATAAAACTCAAGTTTGATTTTTACAGTTTGTTGTCTGCATTCATAATACATGCAGGACTGGGCACAGTGGAATTCTGTGTTTTCACTATAATGTACTCATCATTGATGCACAGTAAAAGAGATGACAAAGAGCCGTGCGTCTATGCGACGCACAGCAGAACAACGGCTGGGTTAGTTTGGGAGAAGGGAGAACATATTTACATAGAGCTTACAAATAGGCTTTGTTTAGCTGCCCCATCATGCACTTACATCATGTCTTATCTTCTGCTCCATATGCTGTTTATTGTTGCTCAGAAAAAAGCAATAATCTTTAAACAGACGTGTTTTAAGGAAAATTATGATAAAAAAAAGTAAATTGTTTTTCTCTACAGTGATCTTGTGATACAATGCAGTGCTAGGTATCATACTATAGCTGGTTAAGGTGAAAGCCCCATTATACAAAGCCACGTCAATGTGCCTGCCCCTGTAACTGTACCTATGTGCTCAATATTTCCCTTTGTCATCTATGCAGTATTTTTTAGCCGTGACTAAGACAGCCCCATACAAAAAAAAAATATCAGATTCCCCCATCCACACATTCAAGGTAAAAGGGGGAATCCTCCTGCTGTGCTATTGTGTACAGACGGCAGGGAACTTTCCTACCCATCAGAAGACAATGATCAGTGCTGCCGGCTATACCTGGTGGTACTGATCGATCAGGAAAAACCCAATAGGTTGTACAGAAGATGATCAGTAGATTGATTGATTTCTGAACAACCAAGGAGCCCATACATGGATCAAAATTGGCTGAACCAGACTAATTTTGATCTGTCTTATTCTGCAATACTGAGGATATTTGAAGCAGGAAATGATCTCCTACCTCAAACATACCTTTTTATTCTACAAATGTGGACAATGTGTCCATTTTGCTTTTTTAATTGCTTTCCACTGTATGATTGTGCATTTTGGAAAACAGAATGACGTTACTATAAGGACCTACTATTTTAAAGGGAGCATATATTGGCTTTACCGTTTTGTTTTTAGATATGTGTGTTCCATAGTAATGTTCAGTAGTAAACTGGCTGTTTTCAGTGTCATAGGAACCAAGGTCATGGCAGCTGCATCTGCAGATTGATCATGTTCATTACTCTGAAGCTTAAAATGTTACTAAACACACAACAGTAAAATCAGTCTGTATATGCAGTAAAGCATCCTTGTTATATTCACCGTGGAACCTATGGGATTCATCCTCTGCCTGTGTAAAAACTCTGTTTGATCCTGACTTCTCTGATCCTCCCTTTCTTCCAGTGTCCCCCTCCTATCTCCTGATAAGACATATCGTGTGGAGTCACTCTGCACACAGTCAGTTTGGTGTGTATTGCTAGAGAGGTTTTTGTTTCTTGGGAGAGTGCATGTGATCAGCACAGAGCCAATCAGCACTGTCCAAACAGAGGTCAGGGATCCTGCATCCTGCATCCTCCTAGAACAAAATGAAAACTCCTTCTAGCAGCTTTAACCAGTGCTCAGCTGGACACTGATAGAAGTCACAAGACTGTTCCAACTGCTGATGAGAAAATGTATTTAGCAGTTTATATTTACTACAATAATTGCATTTCCAAGTTGTGTGTACTATGGGAGACCAGATATAGTGAATGTAGGGTCCTGGGTTTTTAGTAACACTTTAATGAAGATGAATTTTTTAAGAAAAACATCAGTTTGAAGGCCATTGCAAAGTGTATGTTCTGAAAATTGCCTCCCACAACAACCAGATTCAGAATTTAGTTTTTTCACCTATAGTATGGGATCACCCTAACTTGGTGCTTTGAGCCACAGCCAGTCCTTCTAAAATGTAATGTAATAAATTATGTCTTCTATAGGATGACAACATTATACTGTACATGATGGTTTTCTGGCATAGTAATAGGCAGGCCTCAAGACATACAAAAACATGCATCAACTAAGAACCATCTGTATTGATGGTTATCCATCATTAGTAATGTATTAAATAACCCCCAGATTGTGGGACATAGCATGGGTAATGGGTTAGCAGTCTTAAAGGGTTAGTTCACCTGTTCAGAAAAAAGGAAAAGGTGAATTAATACCCTACATCCTCTCCACCCCCAGTCCTACTGTACTTACCTTTGTGGGTGGAGATTTTGGAATTCTTGTTCTTCCGCTTTTTTGTATACGGCTCAGAACTGCTCCGATTTGTCAATGCCAGCTTGTGACTGCTTTGGCCAATCAAAATATCTCTAATCTCTCCCGGAAGCCCTACAGAAAGAAGGGAGAAAGACCAGGGATTTACTATACTGGCTGCATGGGCACTGATAGCTCATCTCCCACAGTAGTAAGTTCAACAGGGACTGGGGGGAGGATAAAGGGTGTTAGTTCTCCTTTCCATTAAATGTGAACTTACACTTTAGGTCTGAACTCCAGCCTTGCTTTAAGTCTGGCACATTTGTATAAATTCCCCTCCTACAGAAATTGCTTGCTGTAATTTCACCGCACACTTTGAGATTCTCATAGTTTGAGAATTAGAAACTGCGGCAAGTCAGGCAGTTTCTTGTCTGGAGCACATCCAGCATCATGTTCATGAGTGTTTCTGTGCGATTTACATGCAGTTCTGTGCAGTGTGCTTTGGAGATGGACTAGAACTGGATCACAGGGTACTTACAATCTGGTGTAGGCAAATGCACTGTGTTTGCGACCTGCGTTTGGGGTGTCGTTAATCTTGCACTGACACCTGCTGCAGATCACAAGGGCAGTGCAATTTGAATGCTTTTGCAGGAAACGGACAAGGACTTCCTGCACTGGGTTGTAGTGTGAACAAGTCCTAAGATAATAATTGTCAGGGGTGTTATCTACATTTGTGTGTTCTCCCTGCTTTGTATGGGCCGCCATTTCCATCCAAAAATATACTGGCAGTTTAGGCAGCATCTAATCAGACTGGTCCAAGTACTTGTGTAAAAGTAGTAAAGACAAGAGACTCCTAGCACCTCCTGGGGAATTGATTCAAATAGATGATTCTATAATGTTATTTGATTTCTGTCATTTCACATAAACATCTCCTTCATTTAGCAGAAAAAAGATGTAAAGAAAAAAGAATATAACGTACTTTGTCTTATTTTTATTTTTACTTTTCTTTCTAATTTCAGGATGATTATATACCATATCCCAGCATCGAGGAGGTAAACCTTTAAGAATCCTCTATTATAGTAAATCTCTAAGGCTTCAGTTGTAATCCTGTAAACATGCAGCTTTTCAGTAGTAAATAGGCACTGAACTCCTATGGAAGTGGGAGTTATGGCTCAAATACACCCTTTGAGGTTTCTGAAGTCCACACCTAGTGCTGCACTTTCACTGGAGGTAATTCTGTCCCTACAGATGAAGCAATATTAAAGAGGGACTTCATTCCCTCCCCCTATACATTTTTTTTTTCATTTTTATGTCTACGGTGTGTTAAATACGCACAGAAATCGCATATATTACAGATATTTCCTAAAGCAACTTATTCCCTACAATATTTTTTAAATTTTGAAACTCACATCAGTAAAAGTATATAGGCTAGAGTTATAAGTAGAGTGCATTATATTTTTAGAACACATTATATAAATGGCTTATGCTGCAATAACAGTGAGTCCTTCGATTTAAATTGTACGTATAGCCTAAAACTATGTTTTGTTATAATTTTGCATAGAACAACAAAGGATTAGAACCTTTGTCAAGGTTTTGTTAATATCTGTGCCCTGTTAGGTAGACTTTGAAAATGTCACTAAAACATGAAATGAGTGGTGACACCTAAGAGTGTATTTCCCCTTTCTTTGTAGAGATTTTTTTTTCACTTCTTGTTGTGCCTCCAGGACAGGAAGTAAAGAGAAATCTCCCCAATGGGACACAGACCACAAGAAGAAAAATAGAATGGTTTAATCCAGGGGTGGGCAACTGTGGCCCTCCAGCTGTTGGGGAACTACAAGTCCCATCATGCCTCTGCCTTTGGGAGTCATGTTTGTAACTGTCAGTTTTGCAATTCCTCATGGGACTTGTAGTTCTACAACAGCTGGAGGGCCACAGTTGCCCACCCCTGCTTTAATCCATTCTTTTACTTATTAAAGCAAATACATCCCACTGTAGGAAAGTTTCTCTATTGTAGTATAGATATCATGAAACATGAAAGACACCCCTCTGTGTCTCATAAGCTGAATGTTTGGTATTACTTTAGGGTGGCCAGATATCCACAGTTTCTGGGGATAGTCCATGATTTTAGGGGTTTCTGTCCTCACGTTAAATGGATGTATCCTCAATTTTTTTTCAGCTTTATTAGTGGCATCCCCAGCCCGGGTGGCTGCAGGCTGTGATTGTCCTGAAACAGGAGGAAGGATGAGGGGAATGCTCTCATTTGTTTCTGGGGTCATTGATGTTACATGCTTATATTACGTGATCTAAACCAGTCCCTCCCCTCTCTGCTTGTGTAGACTTTGCTGTTGGATGTAAGGATGTGGATTATTTGCCGTCTTACCCTTGTTTGTGATGGTGACTTAAAGTGCATACCTGGGCCTGCACTCTTGCTCCACAGCAAAGTAGACTCAGGTGTTATTAAACCATACCCCCTTTAAGCTCCTCCCACTGGTGGTACAATTTGGCCACACTCCACATTTGGTGCAGTGCTCATCACTTTTCACTATTATCCCCACACTCTGCTTCGCCCCTGTCCTAAATCCAGTAAAAGTGGGTGTGGTTAGTCAAGTGTCCCCATATTTAATTTTGAAAATCTGGTCACCTTATCTAACTTTTCTAGACAGTCCACATCTTCACTCCAGTACATGGCAGTGCATTCTGATGTAAGGGTTTATCAGCAGTTAATTGGCTAATGTGTTACATCTCTATTACTTCTGTATTACAGATTTTAGACAAAGATACCACATACCCTTTGATTATTCTGCCGCAATTTGGTGGTTATTGGATAGAAGACCCAGAAAACATAAGCACTCCAACATCGTCTGACAGCAGTATTTGTGATGAGGAGGAAGAACCCATGAGCCCCAGCACATACGGATACAAACTAGAATACAAGGGTTCTGCTCGGGCCTATAGAAAGCACTTCTTGGGGAAGGTTTGTTGAATTATAATGTAAATTATTAATGTAAATTGAGAGGATTATTCTAAGTGCAGAAAATATGATTTAACAGCTGAATCGATATTTGTAACTTTCTATATTTTTTAGGCCTCTTGAACATGGGAGAAAAAAAATGGCACATTTGTAGCTGTGTATCATTTTTTTTCTGGATTTGAACATAAGTGCATCGTTGTCTATGGAACAATGCACAAAGCTACAGCACAGTGGCTAAATGGTTAGCACTTCTGCCTGGCAGTACTAGGGTCGTAGGTTCAAATCCCAACCACGGCACCACCTGCCTGGAGTTTGCATGTTCTCCCGGTGCCTACATGGGTTTCCTCCGGGTACTCCATTTACCTCTCACACTCCAAAGACATGCTGGTAGGTTAATTGGATTCTGTCTAAATTGGCCCTAGTATGTGTATGTATGAATGTGAGTTAGGGACTTTAGATTGTATGCCCCTTGAGGGTTAGGAGCTGATGTGAATCTACAATATATATGTAAAGCGCAGCATAAATTGACAGTGCTATGTAAGTACCTGTAATAATAATAAAGATCCATATTGTGGCAATGTGCTCAGAGCTGGAAAAAAAACCCCAGAAAATTTTGAATACGACTGCAGTTATTATATGTATATGTAAGTACATATGACCATATGCATGTAAATTGAAACATTGGTAGCTAGCGGAAGATGAAGAAGAAAGTTACGTGTGTATATGCATATGCAATACTATGCCTGTACTTATGTTTGTTACGCAGGATCATTCTACCAGCCTCCACCAGCAAGATCATGCATGTAAAATCAGTAAATTATTACTTCCTTGTGCCTAAGACTGCATTCACACTTGAGCGATTTGTAGCTTGAAGTTCCAAAAATGTCCAAACTTAAAAATTGAATTGTTCTCTATGGTGCCAGTTCCTACCTGATCGCTCAAACAGGCACCATAGAGAACAATTGATTTTGTTAAGTTTGAGCATTTTTGGATCTTCGAGCTTCAAGCTACAAGTTGCTCAAGTGTGAATGCAGCCTCACTTTGTGCCGTAGTACATGGAAGCCTTTACATTTAAAGAACCCCTCTGAACCATCATGAACAGATCATCTTCTGTCACCCAGAAAATGTGACTCACTCTAGCTGATTATTTGAAAATTGTTTAAGCTGTACTAGTAGTTGCAGAGTAGTCATATATTTACAGACAAAATTTATTGTACTATGATACTTTGATGCAAAACTACCCAACCAATAGTATGTGTATTTCCAGGGGTATTTCTCATGGTTTAGGACAGTGGTCTCCAGACTGCGGCACGGGGGCCAGGTATTTCCCTTTTCTTGCTTTTATCCGATCCTTGGGGCACTATTCATCCCACTGATATGAGACACTATTCTGCCCACTGACATCAACAATGGGATACTATTTATCCCACTGGCACCAACAATGGAACACTATTCATCCCCCTAATACCAAACATATGACGCTGTTTACTCCCACTGATGCCCAAAAACATCTCTATTCCCCCTGGCCACAGTTTGGCCCCACTAAAGTCTGAAGGACAGTAATCTGGCCCTTTGTTTGGAGACCCCATGTTTTAGAAGGTACTTCTGTTAATTTACTTTCCTGATAGAAAACAGAACTCTCTAAAAACAGCTCTCTAATAAATGTATTGTTCATCGCATAAATCATAATGGTATAAGAAATATGTTTTGGGTAATAGCAATGAATTAATACATTTTAAAAGATACTGTAGCTTAAATAGTGTTTCGCAGGGGATATTTGAAATACATCTGATAATAAAAGTACATGATATTATAACATTGAGCAATACTGCTATGATAGGGTCACAAAAACAGGACTTCAAAAGCAGCTCCTCATCTAGAGAGCAGGAAATGAAACCAAAGCACAGACCATTCTATACCAAATGAATTGTTTTTCTCATCTTTTACCTAAAGGTTGAAACCTTTTCTATTAGAAATCCTATTAAACCTATCCATACCTATTGCACATTTGTTGTGGATGAGAAAACACCTCTGAGTGGAATTATTCTGAACTTTTCAACCATTTTTAGATAATCCAGAACTTTAAAAAATGTGACTTTAAGGTTCCGTTCACACTAGTGCAATTTCAGATGCAACTTGAGTCACACAGAATTGCACGATATTGTTTTCAGTGGTGCCACATCAATACAACTCTAGCATGATTTTGGCCTCACAGAATATACAAACCTTATCCAAGTTGCATCAAAGTTGCATCCAAGTTGCACTACATAATGGCACTGAAAGTCGGATCAAGATCAGATCTCAGCAGTGTAAAATAGCCTAAAGGTACAGATATACAACAGAAAATAATAAAATCACATTTATATTTCAGAAATTTTATTAACTACTTATCTTTTAAAAAGACTTTGTAATGGAATAATGGAATACATTTTTGGAATGATAAAACTCTTCATTCATATGATGCTCCAAAATATATTTGAAATGCATCCATAGTGATATAAGATCTACTGAGAGGAGTCACAGTATGTTGGGGAATCAGCAAATCTTTTAGATTGAAAGCAGGGACCTTTGCTTCCTCTTGTATTGAATTGTATTGCAACTATACTACTATCTCCTTCCGTTTTGAAAGTCACCATACAAACTGTTGGAGCTCTATAATTCCTGTATAATAATATTAATAATTATAGAGATCAACTTTTGCTTGGCATTGTAATAATTGCAGCATGTATTAGGTGATCATTATCTTGAATTTTTAGTAAGGCTCAAATTTCTTACATGTGTTTTAATAATATTTAATTTTCAGCAGTTAAGTACATTTTGCTCTTCTCTGCCTTCATTCAGGGGATTTTGGTTAATTTTTACTTTGTGTGCAGTAATGACAGGGCTGAATTTGCTCTTGCAGCTGTTAGAACATCCCACATTATACATTATAATTACTGTGGGTTTTAATGTTTAAAAGGAAGAACCTGCAGCACATGGTGCGCATAGCACCTCTTTCTATTTATTATCTGTATTAAGGGTGAATTAAAGAAAAGAGGGGAAATAATCACAACAGAGCCACAGACAGCAATGAAAACACAGGTTCTGATTCACCCCAAAAATAATAAGAACATTAATTAGCACCCCAGTAAGTGGATGAGGATAAAACAGTCTATTGATTTTCTTGTGCAAACATTTATTAAAATTGTTTCTAAAGTAGCCGTCCTAGCCCAACAATCTCATCGCCATCTGGAGTTGAATTTTATCTCTTTGGAGCATACCTTAAAATCTCAGTTTTACTTATCACTTCAGGGAAATATTCAAAAGGCAATTGCTGATACCAAATTCTGAAGCATTTTATGTCCTTCCGAATGGCATGTAGCAATTTTATTTTAGTAAACCATTCTTTCTTTTTATAGCTCTTGGGAGAAAATAAGTTTAGTATGCTCAATCTTGTAACTGTTAAATTTATTTTAAGAAGGTTTATTTTATTTATAATATGCTATGATCTCTTAGTGCTATTTTTAAATGCTTGTAATAAACAATAAAATAATTTCAAATATAAAAAGGACTTCCTGCAGTATCTCTAATTTTCTTTTACTGCATATACTAAAGTAAATCTAAATGTGACTAGCAACTTCTAAAGCAAAAAAAAAACTATTCAAATGAAGGTTTGAGGTGTGCACATTTGGGGCTCATTCTCATAAGGTAGCAATCAACATCTGTAGATGGCTATCACTGCTCTGACACAGTACTGCAGTTAAACAAACTTCGCAGCAACTGTCTCCATTGATCCTTTTAGATCAACAGAGGTGTCATTCAGGTATGGGAATTAGTGTGCACAGGATTGCTGTGTATCCTTTAATTGGCAATGTCTGTGTCTGCATTAACTCACCATGTGTCTAAATATCACCACTGTTCATCCATAGAGATGAATGGAAAATGTAAGCATTGCCTTGATGTCCATTTATCTAGGCCAGGGTTTTTTCTGAACGAAGGGCCAGTTTACTGTCCTCGAAGCTTTAGTGGGGTCAGACTGTGGCCAGTGGGATTAGAAAATGCCCTGGTTTCAGTGAGTGCCCTATTGTTGGTATTGGCATTGGTGTCTAAGGGAGGAATGGTGCTCCATTATTGGTTTCTGGGGGAGGAATGGTGCCCTATCATTGGTGTCTGTGAGCTGAATGGTAGGAGGAATGATGTCTCATCACTGTTGTCAGTGGATGGCATGATAAAGGCAAGCAAGGTGCCACATCTGGCCTGCAGTTTGGAGTCCACTGATCTAAGCCATCTAGGGATGCAGATCATTGTCTTGTGCCTCAGTTTATTACACCTCTTTAGGACTTTGGCAGTATCTCTGTACTTCTGAAGCTCACCAGTTGTAGCCCTCTCTTTGAAAAGGGTTTTGGAATAGTTCAAGGTTATCTGGAACCTAACTGTTGTTACAGAAATAAGGCATTTCTGCATAGTTTGTGCCTAAATTAAGGTTCACAAATCAGCAAAACTGAACTCATTTACTCTGTATGTTTTCCTGTTTCAGGACCATTTAAACTTTTATTGCACTGGAAGCAGCCTAGGAAACTTGATCCTTTCTATTAAATGTGAAGAAGCCGACAGCATAGAATATTTAAGAATTATACTCAGGTATGCCATTACAACCATTTCATTTTTGCTCACTTACCAATAAAAAATATTAAAATGACATGGTCAAAATATAATGAAGAAAAAATTAAAATGGCTGATAGTAATTTATAGCAGCCATTCTGAAATCACTCATATTGCCAATTTAAACTAGCCCAGATTTTATTGGTTACTATGAATTACAGTACATTGACCTGTTTATACGAACTGTGTCAGGCAGTCTGAGGTTCATGTACTAATATAATTTACACTTCTGCTGAATGGAATATGTGTGCACCTCAAACCATTAGATATAAACAGAGAAATAAAATCCTGCATGCAAATAAATGTTTGATATAAACATGGAATGTAATGTATGTTTTATAAATCATTTTTTTTAGACTCCTTCAGTCAGACTTTTTACCTTACAACACTTTCATAAATTAGGCTTTTTGTTGTTTGCACACAAGTACCATAATGACGATGAGCATTTCATCAGTTTTTGGTATTGAATATAAAACCCTTTGGGGTAACTTTACTAATGCTGGAGCGCTCAGAATGTGGTGCAGCTGTGCATAATAGCCAATCAGCTTTTAACTTCAGCTTGTTCAACTAAGCTTTGGCAATAAAACCTGGAAACTGATTGGTTTCTAGCTGCACCAGCTTTTGTACTCTCCAGTTTTAGTAAATCAACCCCTATGAGTTTTTGATACAAAAGGTTCAAATGCAGTTCTCATAACTGCTCAATACATTTTCACTTCGATATTTTTTATTGTAGTTTTATGTTTTTTTACTTCTAATGCATAGACTCTGAATGTAATTTTTCCGCTGGTGAGAAAATTAAAGTTAGTGCTTAATTGGTTGGTGTGGAAACAGATAAAAATTGTATCACTTTTTTGTGTTAGAGGTTAATCAATAAACTCTACAGTATAGGGTAGTAACGTGAACATAATAATTGTTATATACAGCAACCAGTTATCATATGAAAGTGGCTCCTGGTTTCCATAGACAAGCGCTACAGCTTTTCTTATCTTTTTTCTGAAGGGACAAGTGTCACTACATATAATAGACTAGAATAGTGATATTTAGAATCTTCCTTTACAAATTGTTGGTTCCTGTTTTTGAATCCACACAGGTTTCTATCACAACTTTATAACATTAGATATATCTAGCCAAAATGACAAGAACATTATTAGGTATCTCCAAGTTCCTATCGTCAAACCTTGCATGTGAATTCATAGGGCAATTCAACTCTTTCATTTTAATAACTAACTATAATGAACTAAAATAACTCCAACCATTTATTTCCTGCCTCCTAAAGAGAATGTAGTGAGTTTTTCAAAGGAATATATGCAAAGTTGGGGGGTAACAGGAAATGCAGCCTACAGCATTTCTGTGATGGTCACCAGAATAAAAAGTGAATGGACATGTCTCCATTAGAGTTATATAAAAAGACTAGTAATAGAGCCTGTTAGTCATAGACTAATGCATAACATTTGGAGTCTAAATGATGCCCTTTATTGGCCAACTTATTAAAAATGCAAGCTTTTTGGAAGACAGAAGGTTCCTTCCTCGGGCATTATACAATTCAAGTTTATTAAAGCCACATACTTATGCACAGACAACAAAGAAAAACTATGAAATATAACTATTAATGTAATACAACGTTTTGTTGTTCTGTGTGCAGGGGCGGACTGACAACTCATGGGACCCCCGGGCAATAGGAAATCATGGGGCCCCTGTGTCCTCGTCCACACTCAAACACCCAAAAGAGCCTATGAAAGGTACCAGAGGCATCTCATGGGGCCCCCTACTGACCCTGGGCCCTCGCGCGAGTGGCTAAATGGTCAGTCCGCCCCTGTCTGTGTGTATTCAAATATATTTTTGGTTTTTAGAACCATTTGCAGAATTGTATAATGCTTGAGGAAGGAACCCTATGTGTTTTTTTATAAACTTGCATCAATAATAACTTAGATTAGTCAATAAAGGGTATCATGTGCACGTAAAAAGTTTTGCATAAAACAGACTACAATAGGTAAAGATAACATAAATTAAAACTATAGCTAATAATAAATATTAATATACAGGACATATAAGAGGACATGTTATTTTGATTATCCTTTAGGCTTCAAGGGTAGTTAAGTGTACAACCATGGGAGGGCTGTGTTTGCCTGCACAGGGATGCAGAGGTGTTCTATACATCTCCATGCAAGCCGTCCCATTTATTTCAGTTAGGATGAAGCAACTGTACAGACTGCTGATCCCAGTTTGACAGCTGTGTGAGCAAGTGGCCCTGGATGCAGACAGTATTCATTCTAGGCTGCACACCTACATGGCTTTCAAATGGAGAGCAGCAGCTGAGTCTGTGCAGCCACTGCATCCAGCTGAAGTGAATGGGATGGTTTTTTTACCTTTGCATTGTCTGCATTAAGGTAAAAAAAAACTTCTGTGTTCAGCCCAAGAGCAGCTGTGCTCTCTCTCTCTCTCTCTCTCTCTCTCTCTCTCTCGCCATTGGCTCCTGCTGCTAGAAATCAAATCCTGTGAGCAGGGAGTGGGGTCAAGCCGCCGTGCTGTGTGTGTCAGGGAACACACAGAGCCTGGCATGTGATTGAGCCCACACGAGTACCCCCCATAGCAAGCAGTTTGCTATGGGTGTGCTCAGAAGGGGGGAGGAGCCAGGAATGATGGCAGGGGACCCCAGAAATGTATGATCGGAGCTGCTCTGTGCAAAGCCATTGCACAGTTCAGGTGTTATTTAAAAAAAAAAAGTTTACCTTCACAATCACTTTAAATCAAACCTCTACGGTGTGCAGATTTCAGCAACATATACACAAAAATATGTTAATTAAATTCAGTTTAAAACAGTTTGTATTATGATTGCTTTAATAGTTTTAGCACCTTTGCCTGTCAAATCATGTAATTGTTTTGAAACTAGCAGTAAAATCTCTGCGCATATGTTAGAAGCATAAATCCTATGTTATAATCAAATAAGGTTTTTAAATAAACCTGTCAGTCATTGAAGTATTTAGTAATATTTCAGCACAGCTGGGCTCTGCAGTAGTGTATGTCTGAGGCATTAACTAAGCCTGTGCATGCTCTACTGCTGTCATTTCCAATAAACCCGGCATGATGAAAACAAACATTGTTCTATTTCTGAACTTTTTTCAGCCATCTTGCCCGGCAAATACTGCTTTATCTTTCTCTTCATCTTATCTCTGAAATAAGTTTGTAGAATATTTTCTTCATCATCAGACACTTTATCAAGATCAATTGTCCAAATGCTCTGAGAGCTCATAAAATAAATAATAAATATGAGAATGCTTGCATCACGTGAGTAGTGATGTCCCAGTTTTTAGTCTTTATGATAATGGAATAAATTTGTTCTTAATTCAGACCTACATTTATTTTTATTCACTGACTTTTCTCAAGGTCAAGAGCAAAAACTCTACACGAACGAATTCCACTGGCTGGATTTAACAAACTTCCCAGCATCCCCCAGATAGCAAAGGTAGGTTTAGATTTTCTTATGATTCTTATTGCCTGCCATGATTGTTGTTTAGCTCCTTATCCATTGTTAAAGGGTTACATTGTTTGAAGTCTATGTCAAGCCATAAACGTCGCCAACTGTCTGCAGAGTCAATAGCTAAAGACCTCCAGACTTCATGTGGCTTTCAGATTAGCACAACAACAGTGCATAGAGAGCTTCATGGAATGGGTTTTCATGGCCAAGCAGCTGCATTCAAGCCTCACATCACCGAGTGCAATGCAAAGCGTTGGATGTTGTGGTGTAAAGCACACCGCCACTGTACTCTAGAGCAATGGAGACGTGTTCTCTGCAGTGACGAATCATGCTTCTCTGTCTGGGAATCCAATGGACGTGTCTGGGCTTGGTGGTTGCCAGGAGAACGGTACTTGCCTGACTGCAGTGTACCAAGTGTAAAGTTTGGAGGAGGGAGATTATGGTGTGGGGTTGTTTTTCAGGGGTTGGGCTTGGCCCCTTAGTTCCAGTGAAGGGAACTCTTAAGGCTTCAGCATACCAAGACATTTAGGACAATTTCATGCTCCCAACTTTGTGGGAACAGTTTGGGGATTACCCCTTCCTGTTCAAAAATGACTGCACCAGTGCACAAAGCAAGGTCCATAAAGACATGGATGAGCAAGTTTGGGGCAGAGGAACTTTACTGGCTTTCACAGAGTCCTGACCTTAACCTGACAGAACACCTTTGGGATGAATTATAGCAGAGACTATGAACCAGGTCTTCTCATCTGACAGCAGTGCCTGACCTCACAAATGCGCTTCTGTAAGAATGGTCATATATTCCCATAGACACACTCCTAAACCTTGTGGACAGTCTTCCCAGAAGAGCTGAAGCTGTTACAGCTGCAAAGGGTGGGCCAACTCCATATCGAATCCTACAAACTAAGACTGGGATGCCATTAAAGTTCATGTGTGTGTAAAGGCATGCATCCCAATACTTTTGGCAATATAGTGTATATACTGTAGCTTAAATACAACAAATAAGAACAAAAACCCCTTCTGCCTAAGTACCCTTTTGCAACCATATTGATCAATCAAAAACAATCTAGTATAAAACAATAATACAATGCTCCTATTCTACGACATGTGACAACAAAATATAAAAGTAATAACACAAATGTAAACATATGAAAAATTATAAAAAAATGTATCATAAAATCTATAAACCTACACACTGAAACAAATATCAGCGCAATAGAGTGATGGAACATGTCTTATTCCAGTGAGGAAGGGGAGCTAGATAAATTTCATCAATGAAAAAACTCTATTGGGGATAATTGGATCCAAGTACTTCTGTGCTGTCTTTTGACCATTGGCCATGGGAAAGGAGCTAAAAAAAAAAGCGTAGCTAAATCTTCTAGTGGCAGTGATTGCTCTTGCTGGTTGGGTTTGGTGATGGGCACAATGTTTAGTGTTTATAAGGTCATTACTTTATCATCATGCAGTACATCTTGTTTATGAACTTTTGATTTGAGGTCATTTTTTGATTAGTGCTGATATCTGTTTCTCTGTGTGGACTTGTGAACTTTAGTATCAAATTTTGTACAAAAAAAGTTTCATACATTCACACTTTTATTAGTGTTTGTATTTTAACTAATCTATTTTGTCACACTGTATAGGATAGGAGTGCTGTATTTGTATTCTCTGTTTTATATTTGTATTCGCAAAATGCAACAAGTGGTGATCTTTGGGTTACCCTTAATTGGATAAATACTAAGAGCCATTTTATTTATGGTGGGCTTTTATCAGCTGGCTGTGTTTTAAAATTAGTTTCTAAATTAAGTTGTAGTAGGCCTCAGTGCATATACTGTATATAGATATACACAGTTTCCAGGTTTTAAGTTCGGGTACTTTAAACAGAATTAATATAGTGTTTGAATAATGCAGATGTCTTTCTCAAAGTACTTTTATATAATTTTGAATATTTTTTGGCATCTAACGATTTAGCAATGTGGCATATTAGACCTATAAAGAATAGAATGCAGCAGAACTTATAATTTACAGGGTTCAAAAAAGTAGTTGATTTACTAAGCCCCCAGTCACTTCAGGTGCGACTTGGCATGTGATTTTCATGCCATGCAACTTGCAAATCGTATGCCAAGTCGCACCCTATTGTCCGCTATTAGAGTGGTCATATTGGTGGGGTTCCGACTTAGTCGGAGCCGCACTGATTTCTAAAGTAGAACATGCACTACTTTTGTTATGATTTGCATAGACATCTGTGTCAGATGTTTTGCAAATTGCAATTAATTTGGCAGGTCATCCGATTTTGAAATCTTGCGACTTCACTGTAAGTTGCACAATTTCAAAATCGGCTTTGACTGGGGTGTAAAGGAACACAGGCTGTTAACTTTTCAAGTCTCATGGTAGTAAATATTATGAAGTTGTGTTTATTTTGAATACCTAATCGTGTCTGAGAGACATTAACAGAACAAGGTGTTTACTTGGATTTGATTGGTTGGTTGAAGTAATGCAGATTCCACCTTTTTTTAATAAGCTCGGTTGACAATCGTTTACCTAATTAAAAAATCTGTACATTTTTGGTAAATCAATCCCACTGCATATGTTGAAAATCTCAGTTCTTTATTCACAAATTATGAAACTGGTAGTTTTAACACAAAAAGGAAATATACTGAAAATAAAATGTGCAACTGAATCGACATGCCAGCCAAATGGATGAACAATACACAAGGAATTTAAAATTTTAACCAGTAAACAAAAGTAAAATTTAATGTAATATTTGAACAAGCTGCATCCATACCATGGCGATAACAACTAGAGTAGTTTGTCCATAGCGGGATATGGTGACACAGAGAACACAGACAATCTCTCCTCCCCTTTACCATAGCAGTACTCTTTAATCATTTGTTTTAGTCATTTGTCAAAGGTAATAAGAATAATATTTGTAATGTTCTTTTTTCAGGCCTTATGTGATGATGCCACCGGGCTTAAATTCAACCCAGTTCTTTATCCAAAGGTAAAATAAATGCAAATAAAGACACATATGTTTACCTTTTCACAAGATTGTGTCTTTTTTTCAAATACTGATGATTAAATGAAAAGGGTCAACTAAAAAATAATTCATTATCAGCACTAACTAATTATATTGCTAAGAGGCAGAACTGAATCACTGTTTGTGGTCAGTCTGAATTTTCAAATCTAATGCATTGTATGTCTTTCTAATTTATAGGTAAAATAATGGAACTGAACAGAAATTATGAAATGTATTTTCTCTACTTCATGCTTCTTCATTTATGTTTTCAGGCATCCCATTTGATTGTTGCATATGATGAACATGAAATCAATAACACATTCAAGTTTGGTGTTATATATCAAACACTTAGGCAAGTAAGTACAGTGTTACCAAATTTGCAATACTTTGTATTTTATTTTGTTATTAGACCCTTTAAAAAATTGTCCAGAATGGTTTGGAAAGTTTTTGGCAGCACTGCCCGAGGAGACAATTAAGTGAAAAACAGCCTGACCTTTAAAAAGTCTACTAGGCTGTTGCCCAGTTTACTATACACATCATCAGGGGCTATCTCATATGTACCCTCAGGCAATGGATTTCTGTCATAAATGTTCTACTGATGTGGGTTTTTTTCTTCGCATGCTGTGCTCTTATCTGGCTGTGAACCTAATGCTGCAGGACTACTGGGGAGGAGTAGTGAATACTGTCCACACAGTGGTGGTTTCTCATTACTATGTTTTTCTACACTGTGGGGTTGATTTACTAAAGGCAAATAGGCTGTTCAGTTTGCAAGGGAAGTTATATTTTGCTTGGAAATTTTCCCCAGAACTGAATGAGGTGAAATTTCATTTTGCAAAGAATGCCCAATCACATACAAGGAAAATAAAAAAAAACATATTATTTTGCTTGTACATGACTGGATGATTGAATTCAACAGAGCTTCGCCTTATTCACTAAACTCAGGGAAAATTTCCCTTGCATGGTGCAAGTTCTCTTACAAAGTGAACAGTCTACTTGCTTTTAGCAAATCAACTCCTGTGTCTCTGTGGGCAGGCAGTCATTTGGTAGAGGGAGGGCTTTGCTTCCTTGTAAAAAATGTTAGCTGTGTTCACTCTGGATACCCAATTGTTCAAGGAAAAGGGGATTTTTTCTTCTACACGAGTGGATGAAGAGAGCACAGCTTCTTCACAGTAACTAAGTGAAAATTAAATTTGCTTGGTGAAAGCAAAAGCTCCAGCAGGAGGAAAAAATCCCTTCCTGATCAGCAGTAGGATTTTCATAAAAAAATTATTAGTATAAGGTTATTATAAGGTGGGCACATCTCCAGTCTCCATGCATCCACAAGCTACCCTACAGGGTAAATTCTTTTTCTTCTTCTCCTTCTTCTCCTTCTTCTTCTTCTTCTTCTTCTTATTTATTATTATTACTATCCTACTAAAGTACAAAAGATTTTCAAGCTAAACTAAATGATGATGAGTGTAGTTTCCATTGTTACAGGAATATTTTGAATTTAGTGGTTTCCAATGTTCACTGAGTTACAGTCAGATTATATCTTTTGTCAAAACATTAGCCTATGAAGCCATGTGTATAATAGAAATGCTGTAATTAAGGAAAGGAATCAGAACATGAAAGGCAGAGAAGAACGAATCCACTAATTTGTCACAGAAAATTCTGGCAGGCATCTTAATTATCATCCCATATTTTGTACCTCTCAGTGGTGCCAGCGCTGTATGGCTGCAAAATGTTATGGTGTTAGAATAATGTGATGCACAAGGCCAGCAGTAACAGAAGGGATCTGCATCCAAATTCTGATATCACTATGCAGTTATAGTGTACTCAATTGTAATTCAGTTTTAATTATTTCCTATTTTCACTATGTATGGCCATAGTGCATATACAGTAAATCCCTGTGGTTTCTTATCTAGGTTCAAAACTCCTAATGTGAGGAAGTGCCACAGCCTGGCACCAAGGCCATTCGTCTTATGTTTATTTTAAGCTTACTGCAGTCAGATAAGTTATGTAATGTTTTCTGGTTGGTTGCTTTGAACATAGACATTGCACTGTCCATATTTCAGTCTGGCAGCTTGAGTCAGAGCCAATTACTATATATATATATATATATATATATATATATTCTAGGATTCTAGGAGGCCAGTGGTCAGATTTCCCAGGCATAATTCTTGGATAATTCAACCCACCTTGGATTCTCACTCTTCCTACAGCAGAGTATTCCTTTGTTACCTGTTTAGGGATTCCAGTGTAGAGATCTAATTTATAAGGTGCCTTAAAAGGGGGAAAGAATCTAATAGGCGGTGTTCCTATCCTATATATATATATATAGATAGTGTTGTTACAATCATGGGAGAAAGGGAAAAAGTAGAATCCAGGAGTTAGTCAGTCAAATTTAGTTAGCATGCAATTTTAGGGAGACAAGGATCATGCATATCCATAGAATTCTCGGTCTGTTCATCCATGCTTTTGTAATTGCATATCTTCTCTGGATCTTGCACTGGAGTGCAATGATTCTGTTATTACAGTTGTATTGTTTTCTGCCTTTTACTGCCTTGCCAACTGTGTTGTTAACATAGAACAAACACAAAAAAAAAATAAAATAAATGTTGGGTAATCAGTACTTCTGCTCAGCAACCAAGCATCACATTGAGCAAAATATGTCTACAGATACTACTTACCCAAAGACCATTTTGGATAAGTCCATTTCTCACTAGTGGATTAAAGCCAGATAGATGGTAAGGCCAGATCATCCAATCATACTCATGACTGCCTACTTTTTTGCCCAATTGACTGTACCAGCTTTTTTCAACCAGGGTGCGATGGCACAAATTGCCCAAAAATTGTCAACAAGCAATTGGGGTTTTGATAAAAGCCTGCCTTTATATATAAAGCAGCAGGTTTTTATTGTGAAGCATTACAATCTTGGGCACCGTTCGGGTCAGCCGCTGGCATCCTAACAACCAATGACCTTATAAGTATCACAAAACAACTTAGCAATGCCTAGGTTATATCCCACCTTGATTACTGCAAGTCACTCCTCACTGGTCTACCCGTTACACAGGTTGCCCCCCCCCCCCCTTCAGTCTATTATGAATGCTGCTGTTAGACTCATACACCTTACCAACCAATCAGTAACTTCTGCCCCTCTCTGCCAATCCCTACACTGGCTTCCACTAACACAACATATTAAATTCAAAATACTAACCACAACATACAAAGCCATCCAAAACACTGCCCCTAGCTACATCACCAACCTCATCCACAGATATTGTCCAAATCGTCCGCTCCACTCCTCCCAAGACATCTTGTTCTCTAGCTCCCTCATCACCTCCTCCCACGTTCACCTCCAGGACTTCCCCAGAGCCTCTCCCATCCTCTGGAAATCCCTACCCCAGTATGTCTGGTCAGCCCCCACCCTGTCTGCCTTTAAACGATCTTTGAAAACTTACTTATTCAGGGAAACCTACCCCTCCTCCACCTAAGAACTGTATTTGAGCCACTTCCATCAGATCATCCCCCACAGCTATCACCTTTTGTACTACCTCCCCCTTCCTTTAGATTGTAAGCTCCATGAGCAGGGCCCACCTATTCCTTCTGTACTGAAATTTATTGTAGTTGTACTGTCTCCCTTTATATTGTAAAGCGCTGCGCAAACTGTTGGCACTATATAAATCCTGTATAATAATAATACTTGGACATGATATGCTGTGGTGATATGTAGAACTGTTTAGTTTTTTTATGTATTAGAATGGGGTGCCGTGTAATTGTACAGGATTTTAAAGAGTGTCTTGAGTGAAAAAGGGTTGAAAAACACTGGACTTACGCATGGTCATATATAAACATTCAGGACATATCCCCAATTTTTGGATCATGGGGGGAAAACAGAAGAAGGCACTCAGTGATCTTATGTCATACTATTACTATATAATTGCTAGATTTGGAGTGGGGGGAATAACACTACCATTTTAGATCTAACCTATCTGGATTTCTTAACAGTTGTGTACACTAGATTTGTTAACTGATGCTATTACAATTTTCCTAATTTGCAGACATTTAGAAGAGGAATTATTTGGCAATAATGAAGAAAGTGCAGCTTTTAAAGAGTTCTTGGCTTTATTTGGAGATACTGTATTACTACAGGACTTCAAAGGGTAAGTTTTGAGGATGTTGCAGTGACTAACACAAGTGGCAGTGTGGGAAGAATCATTCTGGATATTTAAATCAATAGTACAGATTTTTTTAATGCATTTTCGCCATCAAGATGATAGCCTTGTTTTGTTTTTCTACAGTGAGATTAAATGGGTTGGAAATCAATATTTTGTACGTTGAAAAGTTCTGCTGATTATGTTTTTTTTCTCAAAGATTTTCTGTAGATAGATTTGATTGCCCATTCTCTGTGCTCCTTTTTCTCCTTTTGATGAAGGGAAAGTTGCAGTGTGTGCAGCAATCAGAAACTTTGACATTACCAGTCATTGTCATGTTCTAAGCTTTTCTCTTGTTTGCTTCATTTATTGATGTGATCTATTGTGTATTTACACCACCACAAACTGCTAAAGCTTGGTGTCTGAAACAGTCTTACTAGGATTAACAGATGTGCTTTAAATCCAAAACTTATTGTGCGGTAACTCCCAGCAACCAATCAGAATGCATGTAACTACGGTTACATGAAAAAAAGGGATTCTTTGCAGTGGGTTACTACACTTTGGGGGAGATTCACTAGAGCTGGTGCACATAGAATCTGGTGCAGCTGTGAATAGTAACCAATCAGATTCTACTTTCAGCTTGTCCAATTAGGCTTTGACAATAAAACCTGGAAGCTGATTGATTGCTATGCACAGCTGCACCTGAGTCTATGTGCACCATGTTACTAAATAAATCTAAGTGTCTAGTCACCATTTCTGAGAAAAACATGAATGTGTTAAAGGTTATAACGGTGAGAACAGCTTTGACTTTGAAGAAGGATGTACACTCGAAAGCTTGTCCAGAAAATGTGGATGTGCAAATAAAAAAGTGTCATGAACAGTGCTCAGTTGTTCTTGTTGCAATATTAATATACAGAGAACGTAGACAGGATTTTAAAGGTAGCTAATATAAACACTCAATTTGTCAAATAAAATCCTAACCTTTTTTTGAATAATATAAAACCAATAAAAGCTGATCAAGACACAAAGTTGATCTTTTCAAGGTCATATGATTTCAAGTAGATACTTCAACATGTTTCGCCATAATCGGCTTCATCAGGAAGATTACATTTAATACAAAAAACAAAACTGTAACAAAACAAAGGGTATAAAAATTATCACACTATATAAAAAGTAATGCACACTTCAAATACATATAATAAATAGCAAAACATCTCACCACCACTAAGGAACTCCACTTTTAGTTAAAGATTGGCAAAATATCATTGCAAGAGCTGTGCCAGATAGAGGAACAATTTATGTTGTATATTGGATTCACCATAATCTGCACTCAGGAGTAACCCAAGGCAGCATATGATGCACCACATATTAGGTACCTTTAAAATACGTTTTCTTTATTAATATTTATACATTAGAATGTGATACTTTTTGGTATGCCCACTGCCTAGTATAGATGTTTATTCTTGTTATAAGTGCACTTGTATGGCTACAGTGACTTTAAAGCTTATAGCAATCTTAAAGCCTAGCTCCTAGGTTCAATGTTCCTTTAAATCATTTTTAGGCCTAGATGGCCCAACTGAACTATTTACTGCACAAGTGTGCTTGCCGGGTGTGTGCTGTGTAATGACAGTGAGACAGGGGATTTCCCTTTCCCACTCCTAGAACAAAATTGAATCAGGCTGAGTGCTGCTCATCTATTCAAAGTAAGATTTGTGTTCTGTGCGTGAATTAAGCTTTCCATGAAAGAGCAGCACTCAGCCAAACTTTATTTTGTTCTGGGACAGGGAAGGGAAGTCCCCATCCCACTGCTGGAACACAGCACTGTATGTAGCTGAGGCTACATACGGTTAATACAGCATGCCCAACAAGCGCACCTGTGCAGTGAATAGTTCATTTGTGCCAGCTTGGCCTAAACAAGCTATTTAAAGAGACAATAAATGTGGAGTTAGGTCCTTTTCATACTGACGGTCTAATCGGGTTTGCCTGTCAGTTTTTCAGGCAGACCCAATAGGACTATCCATAACCCTCTATAGACCAGCGGGTGTCAGTGAACCTGTGTCCTCTGACACCCGCCAGCATCCGATCATGTAACACAGATAGATAGGGATCCGTTCCCCATGTGTCTGGTGGATCAGATTGGATCGGATGACAGTCGGGTGGAAATGGACAGGAGGTTCGTTTCCATCTGACCGCCCCATTGAAAACAGCAGGCTTTGTCCATGTCCACTGTGCAGCAGTGGAGCAGTTATAGAACTATCATCCACTTGCTCAGTGGGGATCACCAGAGAGATCCCCCGCTGAGCAATTAGATCTACTGACGGGTCCACGTCGTCTGAAAAGTGCCTTAGGCTTTAAGTGATTGGGTCTGCATATGCTTTAAGGGGTATGCAACCACTGAAGTACTTAGCAAAACCAGTATTTATATTAGTTATAAATAAATCATTATATTTTATAACACATAGCCTTCTTTTCCAGGTTTCGAGGAGGTTTGGATGTGGCACATGGGCAGACAGGGACAGAGTCTATATACACCATATTCAGAGAAAAGGAGATCATGTTTCATGTATCCACAAAATTACCATTTACAGAAGGAGATACTCAGCAGGTACAAAGATTTTGCATTTTCAGTGGTTACACACAAGGGTCAACTAGTCTTCTGTTTTTCTTTTATACTTATATGCAGATAAGAAGTATAGAGCTTAGGTGCTATGTGTAAGGTAATACAAACCAATATGGCAGGAGGACTTGTCAGAAACAAGTTGAATGCACTGAAAAAATTGGGCTGTGCTCTGGTAAAGCTTTCTTTACAGAAAACTACAGCAATTGTTTGTTTCATCTGAGCATTGTGCCTCGTATACATAGGTGAATTCAGAATACAGTATACATCTAAAGGTGTCCATTTTTTCTTGGAGACTCCATCAGTTGATCTCTGCACCTGAGGTTCAGAGTTTTTCCGCCTGCTGCACTCATTGGGGTTGATTTACTAAAGGTAAATAGGCTGATCACTTTGCTAAAGAAATTGTACTTTGAAAGGGAATTTGCCACCGAGCTTAGTTTTACTTTTCAAAGAATACCCAACCATGTGCTAAGAAAATTTTAACAAATAGCATTTTTGCTTGCACATGATTGGATTATGGAAGTCAGCATAGCTTCACCTTATTCATTAACTTTGGGGGAAATGCCCTTGCAAAGTAATGCTTTCCTTGAACAGCCTATATAACTTTTGTAAATCAACCCCATTGCTGGGATGCCCCTCTTTTTCAGTTGGGTTTTTAAGTGAGGATGCATCAAGAAGAGTGGGAATCCTTGGTAGGGCAAAGATGAACAGAAAAGACCAACTAATAGATCTGGCCCCTATTGTGTTCCATAGACAAAAGAAGCCATTAGCTGGTGGGGAAACCAAAGTCTACCCCTAACTGAATATAATGGTTAAACCTACCCTATCAAATTTTGTTTGCATATTTTAGAAAAAGGAAGAGCCGAAGAAATGCATGGACATGCTAAAAAAGATTGCACCTGTACACACCACATTGTGTAGAGAAATAAGAAGGAAACTTTCTTCTTAATATGAAGCACTGAGAAAGAAAAGATCACACCTCTTTTGAAATGATAAAACAAAATCCATCATTATAGATGGTTGCACTATAGATGGTCGCCTAGTAACTATTTTACTATGATGAGAAACATTTTACACATTTCAGCTAAAGCACACCATGCTGGCTTTTTCACTAAAGCAACATAACCGTAAATTATCCTCCACACGCTTTATTTTAGCATATGGATGTAATGGCAATTATATGTTATCATAACTTCATATCATAGTCTGTTAGTTTGTAGCCAGGTTCTAAGATTGAATAGTTTATCTCAGCCCACAAAATGGCTTCTTCAAGTATATGAGTAAATAATGGAAATTCTTTCACAATAGTTTGTTTTGTGAATGTGTTTTTTAGTTTAATAGGAGTAACTCTTTGTTTAATATGTTTGCAAAAGGCAGTTTGGTTTATAGTGCTATGGTTTTATCTCTGGTTAGTAATAAAACTCCATATGTCAGATTCGCCAACATAAATAAAGAAAATTGATAAGAGTAATGCTGTTGGCTTAACCCAGTGTTTCTCAACTCCAGTCCTCATGGACCCCCAACAGGTCATGTTTTCAGGATTTCCCTCAGATGAAACAGCTGTGGTAATTACTAAGGCAGTGAAACTGATCAAATCACCTGTGCAAAATAATGGAAATCCTGAAAACATGACCTGTTGGGGGTCCATGAGGACTGGAATTGAGAAACACTGGCTTAACCCAATACAATATTATAAGGATATGAACAATAGCTCCAGAACCTGAGTTGTAAAGACATTTGAATCTTTTCTACCAAAACTCATAAGGGTTGATTTACTAAAATTGGAGTCTGCAAAATTTGGTGAAGTTCTGTATAGAAACCAATCACCCCCTTTCTGTTGGGGTCCCTCAAGGCTCTGTCCTCAGGCCCCTTCTCTTCTCCATCTACACCTCCTCCCTTGGCCAACTCATACACTCTCATGGCTTCAACTATCACCTCTATGACGACGACACGCAAATCTATCTCTCAACCCCTCGCCTCACCCCCTCAGTCTCCGCCCGAATCACAAGCCTACTGAACGACATATCAGACTGGATGTCGCTCCACTTCCTTAAACTGAACCTCTCCAAAACCGAGCTCCTCGTCTTCCCCCCAGCCTGGACCACACCCCCCATTGACTTCTCCATCACATCCAACAATGCCACCATCAGGCCCGCACCACAGGCCAGAGTACTTGGTGTCATACTTGACTCCAATCTATCCTTCCAGCCCCAAGTCCAATCACTAACAAACTCATGCAGACTCCACCTCCACAACATCGACAAAATCTGCACGTTCCTAACCTCGGAAACCACTAAGCAGCTCATCCACTCCCTCATCATATCACGACTCGATTACTGCAACTCCCTCCTCACTTGCCTGCCTCGCCACAGGCTATCTCCGCTTCAGTCGATCCTAAATACGGCAGCCAGACTCATCCACCTTACCAACCACTTCGTTTACGCCACCCCCCTCTGCCAATCCCTGCACTGGCTTCTGATTGCCCAACGGATCAAATTCAAAATCCTAACACTGACGTACAAAGCTGTCCATCATACTGTCCCAAACTACATTACTGACCAAATATCCAAATACCACCCAACACGCACTCTCCGCTCCTCACAAGACCTCCTTCTCTCTAGTTCCCTGGTCTCCTCCGCCCATGCCTGCCTCCAGGAATTCTCCAGGGCGTCACCCATCCTCTGGTACTCCCTACCCCAATCCATCAGACTATCACCTACTCTCCTCTCCTTTAGGCGCACCCTGAAAACCCACCTCTTCGGGGAAGCCTACCCCACCCCCTGCTAATTGCCAACCTCTCTCCACTCTTCCTACCACTCCATCCCCCACAGCTTTTCCTCCTGTACCACTATCCCCTCCCTCCTAGATTGTAAGCTCGAAAGAGCAGGGCCCTCGAACCCCTGTGTATCACATTGTATTGTTATTGTACTGTTCAATGTACTTTCTCCCATTGTAATGTACAGCGCTGAGCGAACTGTTGGTGCTTTATAAATACTGTATAATAATAATAAAAAAAAATAATAATTTTGTCAAAGCTTAACTGAACAAAATGAATTTAGAAGCTGATTGGCTACCATGCACAGCTGTACCAGATTTTTCATTCTCCAATTTTAGTAAATCAACCCCATAGTTACATATATGGTTTTAAACATGCATGTAGAGTATAGCAGAATTATCTGCTTATTATACACTGTAGACTATAAATAGTCTACACTGATAGACTGATAAATAGGAATTGTTTTAAAGGAAGGTCGTAATCTTAATTTTTGGCAAAAACAAACAAGTGGAGTCATCTACTAGTTTCCTATAGCTCTTAGGCCCCTTGCTCAAGGGCATCATAATTTACTGATGTTTACTCAGGAACTTGTTGACAGAAAGTCCCTGAATAAAACTATGTGCAAAGACCTTCAGTGTTGAGTATAGATGTGTAAAGGGGCATAAGCATCTTACAAGTTAAATTCTTCATCACTACCAGTGTTGTAATATACTCATTTACACTCATTTAAACATGCGTCCGCACATAAATTACTGCATTCAAATGTAAAAATTTCTATTTTTTTTTATGGCTCTGTACCCAGTGCTGTATTACTGATCTTTATTCAGCTGTGTGCATTGTTCCATAGACAACAATGCATCTAATTTCAAATCAGTAAACAAACGCAGTATTTTTACTCCCGTGTGCCACAACCTGGGTGATTAAGCAGTAAAAACAAAAGAAATGGCCTTTTCTCATACTTGAAGTTGGATTACCTGTTTATTACATTTATATTAAAGAAAATGTAGCAGGAACCTTTATTTAGCTTCTGAAAAGCTTTGGCATGGAATAGTCTCTGTGCGTTTGGTAGGGTAATATTACCACGGGAGTTTGGGAAAGATATAAGAATCCAATGGATGATTTAGTTGAGCAAATGTACTCTTAAAGCGGTAGTAAACTCTTGCATTAAAAAAAACCAAAAAAACTTCTCCCTGCAAGTTAAGGGCATAGTGTGCTAATATGAACTATCGAGTACTAGCCCATTATGAAAGACTTACCTTAAAATGAAACCCTCCAGGCTGTCACCACTGACAGGGCTTCCATCTTCACCCAGTCTTCATTCTGGGTTCACAAGGTTCAGCCATTTGAATTGCCCAACCACAGTGACATCACTCCCATGTATGCACATGGGAGTCACGTCCGTAGCACAGGGCTCTGAAGGGACGGCATGAGTATGCATGCACTAGCTGCAGAAATAGTGAATACCTCCAAAACGGTGCATGTTTAGGAATTATTCCTTGTACCTACAGGTAAGCTTTATTATAAGCTTACCAGTAGATACAAAGGTCCAAGCGGTGTTTACTACTGCTTTAAACTAAACTGAATCTGACAATTTTTTTTACTTGAAATGACTGTTTTCTGTTCTCCCACCCCAATGCTTTATATTGGTAGAGGTGAGTTAGAGCTATACCGCTTGTCACAAGCTGCCTTATTGTTGCATTGTTACTGAGTGCTAAGAACTGTTACTGAGTGCTGAATAATGAGAGCACTGGGTCTAACTTTGGCATTTATTGGTCTGCACAATGTCTCTCCAACTGTTTCTCAATTTCTGTGACTTCAGTTAGGCTTCAGATTTATCAGTATTCATGTGAATTAAGTATTGAAATAAAAATCTTGAAGCTATATTAAAATAGAAGTCCTCTAAATGTCTTTTGATTAACAGGGTTGAGGTGAATGTTGCGTTTAAATGAAGCCTGTACTGAGAGATACATGTAGGTTACCCCTGCTGACCTCCTTCTAAAACACTAATTATCTGGTCATCCTTGGCTTCGATAATTTATGACCACTGACCCAGAATGAGCACGGAGCCAGTAAAGTCAGAACCAAAGTCAGAAATTTGATTTTTATATTTGTTCCATGTCAGTGACTTAATTACTGAAGTCCGAAGGAAGGCCCAGAATCCCCCTTTGGAGAGGTTAGTAACTGTTACCTATGAACATATTTCAATACAGGTTTCTTTTAAATATAATTTATTTCCTTGTACTGAATTCCAGTTTAATGGTCCAATTATCCATTACCTTCCCTGATGTAAGTGTCCAACCTATGGAAGGCACAGCACAGACAGAGCTGTAAACTGGTGGAAATGCTTCTTGGAAGTGGTTGACATCTATGTAGCATATCATACATCCAAGTTCTCCTTTGAAGGATGTCAAGTGGACTTTTTCTTACACAAAAATAAATAAAAGTCCTACTACTAAATCATTCATCCATTAAACAGATCAAAGCAAGATCAATCTATTATGGTTTGATGTAAACTTATTATATGTGCAATTTACTGTACATTTGTTACTTCATACTGTGAGCACACCAAATGTGTTCAATCTACAGAGAAAATTGCTCTATTACATCCACCCAGACTGCAGGAACCACCTGTGGCTATTATATAACTGGAGACTGTATGAAAAATTATTTGTCCCACTGAAAAAAGCAGATGGACTAAGAAAATGGTTGGCCATCCATTTTCTATACATAAAAAGGTGAGGGAGGAAAACAATCAGCCTTCTGTTACAATCATCAATAAGGCTTATAGAAATTGGATGTTTTGATGATTGCAGATAAGACAGTAGATAATTTGCTGTTAGGAATACAAAGCAACAATAGTGCTTTACTCCATGTATGTGAAGAACAATCAACACAATGTGCGGATTCTCTCTAGCTTCAAGCTATGTTGTCCTTTTCTGATATCAACAGCTAGATAATACTTATCTGCATGAAGTCCCAGGTTTAGCAGTCAAGTATTTAGGGCTTTATCTGAAAAGAAATTTAGAACATGGCCAAGAGTAAAGGATGTGGTCAGGAAGGCTGCTACACAGCCAAATTAAACCTGGGATTTAAATTAGGACATCTGAATTTGGAAAATACTGACAGCCTTTTCAATAAATTCTACTCTTGTTTCTTTCCCTACATGCTGCCTCCTAGTCAGTTTGGGCGTCCTAGTTGCCGTGACTTCCATATCTCTTCCTATCATTAACCAGCTTACCAGTGGGTACTTGCCACACTTTTTATTGGACACTCTACTGAGACTATTAAATATTGACACAAACCTTCTGGTTAAATGGAAGCTTTGATTTTGGGTAAACTTTTCTATACGTATTTATTCTCTGATTTACAAGTTAACCTTTATTACACATCAATTTCCATAACTATATGGGTTACCTGAAGGTAGTGCACAGTATCTGCCTGCATTGAGGCTTCCTATGTCTGAATGAAAAGTCAGGCAGAGCTGTCCACAAAGCAATGAGTCACTATTGTGACACATTCATTTGCTTTTGTAAATTAAAATGTTGGTTATATAATACACTGGAAGAAGTAAAAATGAGCCTCGAGCTCCACTTTTGTTTCATTCTTGACCATATTTTTAATGCTCGTACCTCTAGAATCAAATGCAGCACCTTTGCTACCAATCAGTAAAACAGAGCAAGTGTGGCAGTTAAGGAGCTGCCATAGTTAGGCACATTATAATGCTTAATGCTCCTTAACTTATGAATGCCTCCAATGGATATCATGTTGGCTGGCATGTTGTTTTTCATTACTGTACCAAGCAACAACAGAATGCATAGGTGAGTATAGGAAGGGAGAGAGGGCAGCGTACCACTTTCTCTGGCATTAGTCACTCTAGCCAGTGTTGGATAAAGGCTTTGTAAATAGTGCATTGACTGATTAGCAATGTCATCTACGGGTAAAATAAAAACAGAAAAAGTTGAACTTCAAGTAGATTAAAATATGTGGAAATTCGAAGTAAAACAAAATTTTTGCAACCCTGTCTCTTTTTTGTTGTTTATCTGTCTGATTGGTTAATACAATTAATTTATATTTGGTTAATATATATATTTTTTATAATCTTGGTGCTGGTGGCATCTTATGGCACTTACTGTATTTGTGCTAATTAAAGGAAATTTAGCAGTTTCATGTTTTGTTGATTTTATATATTCTACTGTTTTTAAACATTTTTTTTTATTGTTTGTGTGGCACTTATAGTTGGCCTTGCCTAGGGCGCAAAATAGTCTAGCACCGGCTCTGTTTATGACCACTGACAAGCTAAGTTAATAACATTGATTATGTCATTGCAATGGCATTTGAAAGTTGGTGGGATATATTAGGCAGCAAGTAAACATGTTGTCTCTGAAGTTGATGTGTCAAAACCAGAAAAAATGGGCATCAAAGTTTCTTGTGTATGGGGCTGTGTGACTGCAGTCTGGTCAGGGTGCCCATGCTGGCTTGAATCCACAGCCAATAGCACCTACAATGGGCACCTGAGCATCAGAACAGGACCACAGAGCAATGGAAAAAGGTGGCTTGGTCGGAAGAATCCCATTTTCTTTTACATCATGTGGATGGCCATGTGTGTGTGTGTTGCTTATCTGGGGAAGAGATGTCACCAGGATGCAGTATGGGAAGAAGGCAATCTGGTGGAGGCAGTGTGGTGCTTTGGATGATGCTCTGTTGGGAAACCTTGAGTCCTGCAATTTATGTGGATGTTACTTGACATGTACCATCTACCTATACATTGTTTCTGACCAAGTACACCCCTTCATGGAAACAGTATTCCCTACAACACTGCAAAAATGGTTTAAGAATGGTTTGAGGAACACAACAACAAATTCAAGGTGTTGACTTGACCTCCAAATTCTCCAGATCTCAGTTCAACTGAGCATCTGTGGGAAGTGCTGGAAAAATAAGTCCAATCCATGGAGGCCCTACCTTGCAACTTACAAGGACTTAAAGTGTCCACGACTTATGGATTGATTACAGATACCCCAACATACCTTCAGAGGTCTCGTGGCATCCGTGCCTTGATGGGTCAGGTCTGTTTTGGTGGCAAAAAGGGGACCTACTCAATGTTAGGTGGGTGGTCATAAAGTTAAGACTGATTGGTGTAATATATATATATATGTTATCAATATATTGAAATATATATATATATATCAAAACAATATATAGTATTACCCTCTAACAGTAATTAGTGTTTTGCCCCAAAAAAATTTTATAAAAATAATATCACTTAATTGTTAGATATCTGCTCTTGTGCACAAAATTACTCTATAACTTATATTCGTATATAAAAACTGACTCCACTGGCGTTTTTAGCTTAGGAGATACTCTGGGGTTTTTAAGTTGTGTGCAGACTTTGTTACGGTTAATATCAGACCTGAGCCAGCTGCTCAAATAAAAATGCAATACAATCTTTTGACAGATGGGGGAGAAGAAAAAGAGGATGTGTGACTAGGGACAGGAGCAGTATGGCCGCCGCCGCACCCAAAGGTTATCATGTGCATCTTACAGCTAGCTCTCCTAGAATGGTGACCATGGAAGCAGGGTTTCTCAACTAGGGTTCCTCCAGAGGTTGTTGGGGGTTCCTTGAATAATGAGCAATTTCTGCCTCTCAGATAAGTTCTCACTGGGCACCATTGATTGTTTTAGCTGTATCTGTAAGGGAGTAATATTCAAAGGTTTTTTCCCCATGACCACAAGTGTAAGGAACATTCTTCCCCAGTGACCAACACACTAATGTCCCATGAGTTGTAGATATAGTAATATTGCATTTGCAGGTACCCCTTTCCTTAAGACTTTGGAATGTTATTTCAAGGGTTCCTCTATATTGAAAAGTTTGAGAAAGGCAATCTGCCTTAGAGGATCAGGGTTAATGAGCCAGTACTTTGTTTATGTAGTATACCTGTAACAAGCACACTGATTTTCTGTGATTGTTAGTAACTTGGTGGGAACTTCAACTTGCCTAGTGACCTGTACAAGCACACCTGTGATTGTTCCCATTTCTGAGCCCCACATCAGCTACTATCGCTGTAGTTATGTCACTGATTATATTAATAAAAAAAAATAATAATAAAAAAATGATCTACATATATCATGAATCCCAATACTTGTATCATTTCAGCTGCAGAGGAAGAGACATATTGGTAATGATATTGTGTGGCTATTGTATTTCAAGAAGAAAACACTCCCTTTGTCCCAGATATGATTGCATCAAATTTTCTTCATGCGTACATTGTGGTACAAGTCGAGAATTCAGAGACGGACTATACAACTTACAAGGTATGCAAAGAGTTTCGTATATTGTCTAAGCAATTGTTTTCTGTTGCATTGTCCATATCATCATTTAATGATGTGTAATGCCCTCAAAATCTGAGTTTGGAGAAATACAGAAAAAAAACCTAAAACAGACATTATGGGGGCGATTTTTTAAAACTGGAGAGTACAAAATCTGGTGCAGCTTTGCATAGAAATTTCAGCTTCCAGGTTTTATTGTCAAAGCTTAACTTAACCAGCTGAAACTAGAAGCTGACTGGCTACCATGTACAGCTGCACTATATTCTGATGCAGCAGTCTTAGTAAATCTCCCCCTATGGATCACGTATTTTGTATTTGTATAAATCACTGTTTACCACAGCAGTACAGAGAGAATTAGAGAAATAGAATGTCCACAAGAAGGGTAACAGAGAATTAGAAACATTCTGAAATATTCTTGAATATAGGGAATCTATCAGGTGGACAGTTGGAACTTGTAGAGTTGTGATACAGAACAGCAGATTCTCTATTAGGCAGGGATTGAGAGATGGGGAAAGCAAGTGGACAGAATATGATGGAAGTCAGAATGTTCTCTTAATGTACCTTACTCTGTATTCTATGTAACTTACTGCAATGAGAGCCCAGATAGCATCTCACAGGATCACTAGGAGTATTCTTTCTGAAGTCCATGCTGAGTAACTCTGTCTGCTTCCCACATTACCACTCATATTTCAATCCACGAGGAAAGCTTCAATCTGAATGGTAGCTGGTAGGACCTTGATAGCAGGGGTGGAATTACCATTTGGAAATTTGGGCACTGCCTGAGGGCCCGGGGTCAGTAGGGGGGCCCCATGAATACCTTTTTCATAGGTTTTTTTTTGAGTTTGGGCAAGGACACAGGGGCCCCATGTTGCCCGGGGGCCCCATGAGTTGTCAGTCTGCCCCTGCTTGATAGTCATGTTTTTTCTGCATGTAAGAGCAGGCATTGAGTTCACAGTTTGTGTATTTTGTGAATACCTTTCCTGGGTCACAGCAGGGGTTCTCAAACCACCAAATTAGCCACCAAACGGACTGGTATCAAATTCCTGCACAAAAAATGTAATTACTCAGCAGACAGGCTGTTCCCCAAGATTACATTTTTTAAAACATTTTGATTGAAGTGGCTGCATGTCAAAATGATCTACAAATTCAAAGATTTAGGAAGATTAAATTATATATGAATCTTACCATTTCTTTGAAGTGCAAAGCATATACATGTTGAGCCTATTTAAAAAACCAAACTCATGATAACTGAAAACTCTTTCCCCCCACTGCAAAAGTTAACTGCTCATTTAGTGTAGGGGCCATGAAAAGCAAATTTACTTACAATGATCCTCCTCTCCTCTGGGAAACAGTGCTCCCCGCTGCTCAGGCAGTGGACTGTCCCTTGGCATTCTTGCATCCATTTCTGGGTATGGGTTCTGTATTGGTCCTGATGATGTCAGAGGACATTAGAGCACTTGAGCATTGGGGAAAAGAGGCTGCAGGGACTGGTGTAGCAACTTAGGCATAAACTGAGCACTGCAGTGCAAGCAAATCCCCACTGCAAGGGGTGGACTTTTATTTTTCAAATGTTGAAAATATTACCTAAAAAAATTGTGTTTTGTATCAACTTAATTTATCCAATCATATGAAAAGCATATGCGCATGATTGGGTATTCAAAATGAAGAGGAATTAGATATTTTTATGATTGGATATTTGAAGTGAATATTCACACATCATATTACAATTATAAATTTGATTGGTAAATCAGCCTAACTCTCTGTTGACCACACTGCTGGACCAAATAAGTTTTCTTTATTATCCACTGAGAGACGTAAGGATGGAGTAAATTGTAGAGGTATGGGTTATGCTGCTGACTTCAGGAGGTTGGCACACCCATACATTTATGAATTGCGTCAAGCCTGCATCCCTCAATGAACTCCATAAAAAAGATTTTACGGTAAGAACAAAAATTTTATTTTCTTTATCGTCTTTTGAGGGACACGGGGATGCAGTAATTCATAGACTTATGGGGTTTGTCATCCTCCTCAAGGCAGTTAGCATAATACCTATGTCCAGGGGCGGACTGACAACTCATGGGGCCCCCGAGCAATAGGGGATCATAGGGCCCCTGTGTCCTTGCCCAAACTCAAAAAAGCCTATGAAAAAGCATCTCATGGGGCCCCCTACTGATCCCGGGCCCTCGGGCAGTGCCCGAGTTTCCAAATGGTCAGTCCGCCCCTGCCTATGTCTATGAATTACTTCATCCCTGTGTCCCTCAATGGATTTCAAGAAAAAATCTTATTATATGCCACACCGAAGGTTTATTTTTTCAAGTAGAAAGACATAAGTTTATAATTTGGAAGAACTGCCCTCACAACCACTTAGTCCATTCAGAACCACCAAATCCCTTCTCCTGAAAGAGCAGTAATTCACACAACATCAAGTCATTCAATGTCTGCTGATCTTATGGGAGCAGGATAAAAACTTATATCCCAAGGAAGAAGTGAAAGAGGAAGATTCTTTGTAGTACTTCTTGTTACTAAGTTCCAGTTTATAAGCAGGCACATTAAAATATATTTACATTCAGTTAGCAGTCTGGCATTTACAGTCAAATATCACATAAACAGCTTAGATTATTGTAAATATGTATATATAATCTATATATATATTAGGGGTACAGCTCTGTTTGGAGTACAGAATGTCCAAAAATTATTTGGCAGCTAATAACATATGTTTCCAACTTTGTCTTTACATACTTACACATGCAATCCCAAGCCTACATATGGTAATTAAATTGGCTATATGTTAATTAAATTATTAACTGCCAAAGTGGGCAAACATCCTTAGGCAAACAGGTGCTTAAAAATATTTTTTACTTTCTCCAAGTGCAACAGATCATAGAGATATTTAACTTCTGTATTCTGTATTAAGTTCTGTATTCATACCTTATATACTTGTTCAAAACTGGGGTTTACTTATAGAATATAAGTAATAGTTGTCACACATGGCAAGGGCCAGCCATTATCAGAGTTTTTAAAGTAGAACTTTGGCCTTTAATTAAAAAACAATAAGGGCTGCAGCACTTAATTTTAGTTTCATCTGCAAAGCCTCATAAATACCTTTTGATCCTGCCGGTGAAGTTCACCTAATACAGCTTCTTGTGATAGTGTGGCAACAATGCTGCACTGCTTCTCAATTCAGGATAGAGTTTCCACTCTCATTTAGACTGTGCTTGCTTCCACTACAGTGAAATGAAAAAAATGTTGTGGAAGGTATGATCATCATCAATGTCACTGCTGATTTGCAAGCCTATAGCTTGTCAATCAGCACCTGGCCACAGCCAGCCCTGCCCAGTGTTTTCTTGGGCTGCAGTGTCTGGGAGGGGGTACATGTGAGAAACACATGAAAGAAGGTTCTCCCTCAATCAGGGAAAGGAAAGGAAGATTTCTGTTTACTTTGAGGCTTGTGTATCACATGGTAGCTCAGTTTGGTACTTGCTTTGACTGTCATACAGGAGCCTCCAGTAATACTTTAACCACCTCCCGCCCGCCATATAGTAATTTGACGGGCGCAAGGTGGTTCTCTCGTTCTGGGAGGACGTCATATGATCACCGATCATGGAAAGAGCCGAAGATGTTGGCTCGGTCATGTGATCAGCTGTGTCCAATCACAGCTGATCACATGTAAACAGGGAAATGCTGGTTATTGGCATTTCTCTCCTCTCGAGCTGTCACGCTGACAGCTCGAGAGGAGAGGAGAGCTGGTAATCGGCTTTCCGCGGAGGGGACATGTACACTGATCATCAGAGTGTACTGCAGTAGCCCCAGCAGTGCCACCTGTCAGTGTCCATCAGTGCCTTATGTCAGTGCTCATCAGTGCCTCGTGCCAGTGCCCATCAGTGCCACATATCAGTGCCTACCAGTGCACATCAATGCCACATATCAGTGCACATCTGAGCTGCCTTTCAGTGTCACCCATCAGTGCCAGTCAGTGCCACCTATCAATGCCAATCAGTGCCACCTATCAGTGCCAGTCAGTGCCACCTATCAGTGCCAGTCAGTGCTGCCTATCAGTGCTGCCTAACAGTGCCAGTCAGTGCCGCCTATCAGTGCCAGTCAGTGCCGCCTATCAGTGCCAGTCAGTGCTGCCTATTTGTGCCAGTCAGTGCCGCCTATCAGTGCCAGTCAGTGCCACCTATCAGTGCTGCCTATCAGTGCCATATATCAGTGCCACGTATCAGTGATGCCTTTCAGTGCTCATCAGTGATGCCTGTCAATGCCTATCAGTACCACCTACCAGTTCCTCCTCATCAGTACCCATCAGTGCCACCTATCAGTTCCCATCAGTGCAGCCTCATTAGCGCACATCAGTGAAGGAGAAAAATCACTTATTTACAAAATTTTTTATAGCATAAACAAAATTTTCAGTGGTTTTTGGTTTGCTTAAGAAAAAATAAAAAACCCAGAGGTGATTAAATACCACCAAAATAAAGCTCTATCTGTCACAAAAAAATGATAAACATTTCATATGGGTACAGTGTTGCATGACTGCGCAATTGTCATTCAAAGTGCGACAGCGCTGAAAGCTGGAAATTGGCCTGGGCAGGAAGGGGGTATAAGTGACCTGTAGGCTAGCAGTTAAAGGTGAAGTATGGGATTAAAAAAAAAATAAACATACATACTCAGCTCCATGCTGTAGCATCTGTGCCGCATTGGGTCTAATACTGATAACTCAGCAAATACATGACCACTGAGCGGACAACAGTGACCATCAATCACTGCTCTCTGCTCTGTCCATCAAGCTCTCACTGGAGTGCTAAGCTGGGAAGGGGGCGAGCATGACTGGCTCCACCTCTGTGCCAGTCACTGGAATGCAGAGCCTGCAGCAGGATGGATCCTGACAATATTGTCAGGATGCTTCCCGATCCTGGAGTGTCTTTGCCCCATCAGCTAATAGCGGTCAACAGCTGCATTAGCCTGCTATCAGCTGACTCTGGGTCACAAAAATAATTGTCCTCCTGTGACCCACAAGAGAACTATGGCTAAAAAAAGCTTTGGCTATACTTATCTTTGAAAATTGTAGCTTGGCCTAGCTGGTAAATGGATGGGTGGATTGAAAACGTCTTAGCTTTCTAACTAGAGGGCAGAACAATCCACTTTGAATAGGAAGTATCCATTATATGTGATACGTGCGTTATTTACATTGCTGTTAGAACTTAAAGCCTAAACACAACATTTTTGAAAAATTTCTTTTGACTGCTGATCAACAATGTGTACATTTCCAGACATTACCTGACCTGCTAGTGTATTTTCAAGCTGATCCTTCATGGACAGATTTGATGTCATGGGTCTTGCAAATCAGATGATGTCTGGAAACGCACTCCTTGTTAATCATCAGTCAAAGGCCATTTTTCAAAATTGTGCTGTGCAGGCTCTGTTTAAATTTTCTGCAGCAGCACATATTACAATTAAATCAAGCACACATACAATGGGCTCTTTACTGACTTTACCTATTTGAAATTATGTAATTATCTGATGATATGTCTAAGAACTTTTCAATATAGCCTCGTAAATGGGAGTATTCAACATGCAAAGAGCAAAGGAAAGATTATAGTTATCCATAGAAAATTCATGTAACTTTACTGTAGTCTGATCAGTTCAGGGATGATTTCTGATTGGCTGCTTTACTTTACTGAACCTTGCATAAAGTCACTGATCTTTGCGCTGACTTATTAGAACAAAGTGTGAAATGTAAAAGCTGCCATTGCTGACCTTCTCCTCAACATTCTATTTGCCTGGCTGTACTTTGAGACACAAACTTGAAACAAACATGCAGATCTAAAAAGTCAGAGAAAAAAGTCACAACTCCCAACCTGCATAATGGTTCCAAGTCAGTGACTTAGAAAATACTGAAGCTGTTAGATCAGCATGACAGTAGGGAACATATACTGTATATCCACCATATCTCTTCTTCTCAGTTTCCCATTAAAAAAAGCCCTGCTTTTGTTTACAGAGTTAAAAAAAAATGTAGACTGTCAGGCAGACTCTTTTCAGCTGGTAGCTTGTTCAGAGCTTGGTTTATCCTTCAGCTGACATTATTTATCTGTGTACACTCTCTGTCTCAACAAATGCGAGTTGAGAGGAAAAGCGGCTGAGCACCGGCAGTGGGAGTGGGTGTTGGCACATAAGCTTTGCAGTAATAAAACAATAAAGCTTAGCTTACTACAGGAAGCGCCGCTCAGAGCAACACAAAGTTCTATCTGGTGCAGCATTATTTTAATAAATTGCCATTTTATGTGAAGCATTACAGAATGTGCTGTATGGTGAGGCGTCCTGAAAAGAACAGATTGGCCAGCACAGAGCTGTTAATTGTTTCCAAGAAGCAGCTGGCTTTATCCAGACAATATTCTTGTGCAAATAATATTGAAGGACAGGAAATTCCCCCTACAGGATGGTTACCAGGCAGAGACTCATACACCACTGTTACAGAAATGGGCTTATTAGGGAGGAATTGCTACTTCATGAGCATAATAGGGAGGAGATGCGCCTAGCCAAACCGTAATGGCCTGTGAATCAGAAAACCATATGCCTGTTTTAATTGTATTGGTCTGATGATTTAAAAGATCACAGAGGGTAGAATGTCTGTTGGTCTTGCATACAAATACACATTGTAAAAGAAAATAAATATACAGCACAAAAGGTTTTTCATCTTTCTTTACGTGTGATTTTGCTGTTGTACTATATACATCATTTTCAGCTACAGTATATGGAGAAAATCCTTGTTTCCTTTGCACAGTTATGTGGATTGAATCCTTGTTTTCTTTGCAGAGGAAAACATTATCTTTGCTGAACAATTTAACAAACCTTTTCATTGAAATGATCAGTGCTCCCGAAGTCTGATGAACTGAGCCAACCTGGCTCTTAGTCTTGGATCATTAAACAGTGAGCTCACTCTAGGCAAATTTGGGAATTGAATATCTGTATTCTCCACAGATTTGCCAGACTGGCCCTTATCTCTTGCAGTATTTAAAAGAGAAGTATGGGGTTATGAAAAAAAACCAAAACATTTATACCCACCTAGGTGGATGCAGCATCAGTACAATGCTGCATCTGTCCCCTGCCAGCTCTGCAGAGAACTGAGCAATCCAAAACTCAAGATCGCTGTATACTCCCCTCCGCTCTGAGCAGAGAGTGATGACTGTCAGTCACTGGCTTTCTGCTCTGCTCCTCCAGCACTCACTGGAACGCCAGGCTATGGAGGGGGCAGGAATGGCTGGCTCAGGCTCTCAGTGGCTCACTGAGAGGCTAAACCAGCTGCAAGTCCAAACATCTGGGGGGGATCCCAACCATATGATCAGGATCTTTTCAAAGCCTGGACCAGCTCTGTGACGTCTGTTGACAGTTGACTTTAGCCCTCTATTGGCTGAAAACAGGTCAAAGGGGTGAAAAATGAACTGCACTCCTGTGATCCATAGGAGAAGCAGGGCCAAAAAAGCTTTGACCATACTTCTCCTTTAAATAGATTTTAGGCTAGGTGTGCTCTCAATGAACCTAGGTGTGCAGGACTTACATTAATCATTATTTTCGTTCCATCAGCAGGTTGAAGGAAAAGAAATGACCTGATTTCCCCATCCACATGCTAAGTGTGGATGGTGGAATCACTCCCCCTACAGGGAAGATTTCCCTGTAATCAGAACACAGTGATCAGTGCTGCCGTCCAAAGCAGGTGCCACTGATCATTTGAGAAAAAAACTGGTTATACAGAAATCAATCGGCAACCAGCCTGCCCAAACATGGATTGAAATTCAGTCCCTGGAATACTGAATTTTGATCCATGTCCTTTAGTCCTTAAGACAAGTAAGCCAAATCCTTAGTAACAAAGTAAAACTTCAGTAGTGTAAAGGAACATTTTCTGGCAATTAAAGGCAATAACAGGTACCTTGTAGTTTCCACAAGCCTGAGAGGCTTGCTTTAAGTTGACCCAATGGAATAACAGACCGGAAAACCAATAAACACTGTATGTTTTAAAAAGAATGAATGAATTATAAATCTTCCATGGATGACCTTTACTGATAATCTGTTTCAATATACCTAAATTACCTGGTGAGCCACAGCTCCCTGCATCATCATGACAACAAGAGGACCAGGGTACTTTCAGGATTGTCATAGTTGTGCCATGCAATACTTTCAGTGTATTTGTGTACACAAAGCTGTTCCAAGGGATGGCATAATGCATAATCCAGTAGTCTGCTAGTACTTATACAGGCAGCCACATTTCCCTCCTTATTTGCCCATTGCTGTAGGTAGTTAGGGATTGATTTGCAAAAGGCAAAGAGTATGTTCACTTTGAAAAGGAAGTTTTCTTTTGTTAGGAGAATGAGGCAAAGCTCTGCTAACTTCCATCATGTAATCATGTCTAAGCAAAAATGCTGCTGTTTTTTTCACCACATTCACTAAGCCAAAGAACAAATTGCCTTGCAAACTGCAAATTTCCGTACCAAGTGAATAGCCTGACTACCTTTTGTATCCTTTGGTGTCAAAGAATGTCAATCCTGTATCCCTACCTACAGCCTGAGGATGCAAAAGAAGTCCTGGAAGTTGCCAACCAGCATCATTTTAAGACTTTCCCCAGCCCTTGGAGCTTGTTGGGAAAGGAGGAGAGCAAGCAGTCAGGTGACCTGTTAAAAGAGGGGAAAAATTTATTTAGGGAAACTTTTTCACTTAAAGGGCATGCCTGAGCAATGAGTAAGCTTTGCCATTAAATGTTTTATATAGCGTCAGCAGCATCTGATTTATTTAATGATTTTAAATTGTTTTGATTTCTATTAATCTTATTAATAATCAGGTATCTGTCACTGCACGGGAAGATGTGCCATCTTTTGGTCCTCCACTACCAAATCCGCCAGTATTTCAAAAAGTAAGTGGCTTATATTTAAATGTAAATGATTGAATTCTGTGAAAGTAGATGTAAGGCTCAGGGCATTCAAGGTCTGTGATATTTTTATCTTGATAAATATTCTCCTGATCGGGAACGTTGGTTTTATTCAACAACACCAGATGTGCAAACAACACAAACTAAAATCTCAATAATAAATAAACAATAATTAAGTACCGTATTTTTGGATCTAATTTGATGTCTCAGCTTGTTTAGGCACCAACATTGTGTTTATGGATAAAAAGGTATATTTCCGTGTGGATTACTGAGAAGGACTAGAATTAACCAGGAACTAATTAAATAGGATTTTTCACTGTTCATTGATTATGCAGGAACCAGAACTTTATCGGATGTACTAATATCACCCTTTCAATCAGTTACTTAAGGGGTCTGTGCACTCCCTACAAATTCATTAAATAATAGTTAATCATTTTTTAATCTTAATTTTTACCAATGCTGGCATTATGGTCTGGTAGTTTGAATCATAATACAGAAATTCTTACATGATCTCTGGGCTTACTTTCTCAAGTTCCCCTTCTCCAACACCATATCCCTTACTGGCCTCATTTGGTGATGTGGATGGGCTGAGCAAGTTAACGAGTAAAGGAGATTAATTCTTACATTCAGTCTCTGCTTCTGGCTGGGAGTCCATTGAGGAGATCTGGAACAGTATTGACATGACAGAACCCCACAGTGCTTTGTGCTGTCTGCATATGGATATATGGATATATTTAAATGCATTTGTTAAAGGGTAGCTCTACTTTTGTGAAAAAAAGTATAGCAAAAATAAATAAAAAAAACCATAGCATTTACAATTGCTACATGACCCATATTCTTAGTTACAGTTATTAAAAATCAAATGTAAAGCTGTTGCAATTTTCTGTACAATTCATTGCAATATGGTAACCTGGAGAGGGTTAACCTCTGCAGCAGCCAGCATGTCCTTGGCTACTGGCTGTTCTGCAGTCCCTCCATTTGGCTGTAAAGTTCACCCTATGGTTACCCATAGAAACTTTGTCCAGTATTGTGAACAATCTTTTTTATCATCCATTCCAGTCGATTGTGTTCCAATTGTGGGTGCTATGCAGCCACAGATCAAGGGGTCGTCAACAGCAAGAACATTGCACCTGTCACTTTTACTCACATAAGGGATTTTCACCATCAAAAGCAGAAAACGGAAACATGCTAAGCCACCCAGCTCTCTCTCTCTCTTTCCAGCAGTGTCACTACTTAGGTCTTAACCTTGGTTCCGGGCTCTTCGCTCCTGGCTTCTAGTCCCTCAGACCACCTTACACAGTACCACTGTGTTTTCAGTTTAAGCCCTCTCTCAGCTCTCTGAGCTCTCTTAGTGCCCCTGGCTTTCCATGCCAGTTCATTTTCAGCACACTGCTGCCTGGGCCCTATCAGTAGGGGTTCTATGTACACTTCTTTGAGGCTTCTAGATTCCCTCATCCCCTGGACCCACCTAGTTGTCTCAGCTCCCTCAGTCTCCCAGACTCACTTAGCCATCTCAACCCTTTCTGACAAGAAAACTGCTCCAGCATGGAATGCTGTCTCTTGTGTAAAGTCCACTTTGTCTCCTAATGGAAGCCCTGAACTTTGCCCAAGTCCTTCATTATAATGGAACACTGGGTTGGAGATTTCTTCCCTCCCAACACTCTTTGAAATCTCCAAACTCCATAACCCAATCTGGGAATACAAACATCTACAGAAAAAACAACTGATATTTTGCACAGACCCACACTCTACATACATGTGAACGCTGTGTCCCTTTTTCCTACTTTTACATACTGTCACACAATATATAATTCCAGTCTGCAATTTGTTTGCACTAAATACACAATGTTTAGCAGCACTTGCTGTAAGGTAAAGACATCATGTCTTTTAATGGTAAACCTATTTAGAGGAAATAGGAATCAATAGAACAAATCTGTGTGAGACAGGCAGCGAAACTGATCCGCTATTACTGTACATTTGTGGTTTGCTCTGCAAACAAGGTGGGTTATGTTCAGAGTGTTCCTTTCCTACCCAGAAGCACATTTACTCATGTAATCCCTTTGAGCGCAGACACCTGTCACAGCCTGCAGATACCTAGCAGTGACTCAGACAGTCAAGCAGGGAATGACTCAATAAAATTAACAAATCTGTCCTCTCAGCCCATCGCTGGGTGCCCAGCAGGGGGGCAGGCCATCATTTGGAAAGAAGATCAGTGCCAGCTTTTTACAGTCAAAATATTAGTCACAATTTTCCCTGAGCTGTCGTAAATGCATCAGTGTGTCAGCTAAGATGTCTGTGAGTCCCCGCTGGCCTGGGAAAGATTATAAAAGTGCTGAGAGATTTGAATACCAAATGTGTTCATTCTTAGTTCCACTTTATTATTATCAGAACAGTGGACCCTGGCGGTGCAATGTGCATTGCAATATTCTTTATCAGGATCATTTTGTTTTTTTATAGATGAAATTATACCTGAGACATATGCAGCACAAGTATTATAAAATCTTACACCTGTATTTTAACAGTTTAGAGCTATAGTATGCATGTACTATTATAGGAAACATCCAGCTGAGTCCAACTGTCATTGTAAAGCCAATGATCCTGCCATGCACCCTGATTCTGCTAGACGTGATCTGTCCATGTAAATGAATAGTCACCTGTGCCACTGCCTGCATTGCCAATCTTCATTCTGTTGAAGACTACCACTGCTAGAATAATCTCCTGCAACAGACACTGCTGTTCCCCCTTTGTGCTCTTTGGTTTTTCCCACCAACCACTTTATCACTGCAGGACACAGTAGTGACATATTAACCAGAGGAAGGAACCACAGTGTGCAGCAGGGGAAGCAGGCATGCAATACCCCTGGAAGTGTATTGGATGCAGATTCTTTAGTAGCATTGGGAAACAAAGATGGGGGACACAGGCAAGGCGGACTTGTATGTATTATCTATGTTCTTTTATAAAAATTCTCTTGCTGAAGTATTTTTTTTTTACAAACCTTTAAAGTTGAACTCCAGACAATTTTATTTTTAGCTTGGGGAGGAAGAGTTACAATCTCTGCCAGGTTGTGGTTGGTATGTGTGTCGCAGTTTGGGAGATTCACAGTCATTTCCTGTTTTAGACTCACTGGGTTAGAAAGTGAAAGGAAATGGTACAGTTGTCACTGGAAGAGGAGAAGCAGAGGAGAAGTCTTTTGATGAGATCACCTGTTCTGCTGATAACCCTCACTTTTTCTTGCTTCCTGTTCTTTCTATGGGATACGAAGTGAGAAGAGATTTCCCTATTGAGGACACAGAAGGGATTAAACAACATGATAGAGATTCTTACTTTACCAACATATATTCTAGACTAGAAAGTTGTAATATTTTACGTTTTATGGGTTATAAGTTAAATGTTTTATTTATATTTACCTCTAAGGGATGTTTTAACGTTGATGTTGTAACATTACCCAAATTCTTCCTCTCTCTGTACATTGGCTGAACTGAATGAACCATCCTTTAGAATTGCATGGAGGACAAATTCAATGCAAATTAAACACTGGGACCATAAATCTTTGGTGTTACCAGTGCTGCCAGCCATTTTGTTACAGCACTCTATTTTGCAATGGATGTCAAAGAGGTAAGGGCAATGGAGATGCTACACTTACCTTCCACAAAACTTAACTCAGTTTTTTTTTATCTGAAGTGCTTCTTCAAAGAGAACCAATCCTGAAAAAATATCCACTATTAATGAATATAGCACATTAATGTATTTTTTTTTTTTTAATAAAACCTACTTCTGTTTTTTGACATGCATTTGCAAACTCTGGTCAGCAAAATCCCATTGACTAAAATGGAGCAGTACACATGGCAGTTCAGAGGCTGCAAATGACCTGCTTTGCAATGCCCTGCACTTCTTTGAATAAAACATGTCTTATTGAGCTGTATTTGAACTGCAGGCAAAGAAGATGAAACTGAACCTTTCTTTGTTGAACACCAGCTCAAATATTTGATGTGCCAAGTTGCTATTAAAAAAAAAACCAAATTAAAAAAATTGATAAATAGCACTGGCTTTGTTACATTGTGGGAGCAGTACCTCCTGAAATAATATGAAATAAATAACATAATCACATGTATTAGAGTGGCAGCTAAAACAAAAAGGCTAAATTTTCACACTGTATTTTATCAGCAGATTTGTAGCTAAATCTTTACCAGCAACATCACAGTTTTGCATTTATTGAAAATTTGGATTTCACATATCAGAAAGGTGCCTAAAATGCTGAGTATTATGTGATATATTTTAATAGTTCACAAGGTATAACATTTACATAAAAGTATATTCCTACTAGGGCAAATCTCTAACTCATATAAGTAACTGTGTATTTATTGATTTATTTGTATAGAATGCAGAGTTCCGAGAATTTTTGCTGACCAAACTCATTAATGCTGAACATGCTTGTTGCAAGTCTGACAAGTTTGCAAAGCTTGAGGTAAGCAAACACTTAAAGTCTATGTAAATACTAAGAAAGAACTCCTTTATTTAGCCCCTTTTGGCAGCCATATATTTGTTACTGTTTGATCTTGGGTTCAGGGATGGACTGCAATGCTATTGCTCACACATTTAATTAGAAGAATGTGTGATGTTTTCACATTCAATTAGACTGCTAAATATGCCACTTTGTTATATATGTTCAATAATGACATATTGCTGACCCTGCCATAGCTTAATTAATTAATAACGTCCTGTGATCTTTGGATATGCAGACTGTTATCTGTTAGCATTCTTCCCAGCATTCTCTATGGACCACTAAACACCTTCCCATGTGATAATGAAGAGTAGAGGGGTAGGTGTACTGTATTCAGGCCCTAGGGTGACAACATTGTTTGTCCGTAGATTCATTACAGTGCATTGACAACATTGACCCCTTAGGACAGAAAATATGTTACTGGCATGTTCAAAAATAAAAGAAAAAAGTCTAAAAAAAAACAATGTAGCTATCTCATTTAAGGACTAGTAAGCTGCAATATATTAAATTTTTAGTTCTTAGGTAAGAAATTCAGAACACCATAACATTGAAAAAACTTTGCAAATATGTACCGGTCATTAAAATATACTTGCTCAAGTTACCATTTCATAAAAACACATATATATATTAATTAATGCTGTAATACTTTTTACTATTCCCATTGAGAGAAAATTATATCTTGTTTGTTAACATCTTCTTTGACATAGGACCGTACAAGAGCTGCCTTATTGGACAATCTGCATGATGACCTTCATGTGCACACACAGGCCATGCTTGGTCTTGGGCCAGAAGAGGACAAACTGGAAAATGGAGCTCATGGAGGATTCCTGGAGTCCTTCAAAGTAAGTGTAGGGAAAGATCTTAACTTGTTAAACTTTAAAGCCATTTTCTTCTGTCAGTTGTGGCCTAATAATTCAGTAATTACTTTACTTGTATACTCATACAGTAGTGAAGCATATATTGTTTTTTGTGGAAAATAAGACAATGCACTGTGAGGTTACAAGCCTCCTTGGAAGTGAAGCAGTGGTGCTTTGTTACAGGAGGAACACAAGTGCCTGAAGATGTTACTTGTAGACCTTTGGACTGGCGATGAAAACTAAGAGGAACCAACTGGATGTGTATGCATGAGTGTTAAGCAAGCAGTCATTTGAGCCACATCTACACTAGCAGAAATTAAGGAAGAACTCTGTCTTGGCAGTGAGTTCAGGACAGCTGGGCCCAGCAATGACACCAGCAGGATTGTAGCAGGAGCACTCATAAAGGTCTGCAGAAGGATCTCAAAGTAGAATAGAGCAGGCACCTGAAGGGGAATGTAGGACTGAGTCAGAGACAATAGTCACACAGCAGGACAAGGTCAGCAACAAACAGGCAGTGTGCTAGTAAAGTGTTACTAAAATAATTAAAAAAAATTAAAATAGCAAACATGTTATACTCACCTGCTCTGTGCAGTGGTATTGCACAGAACAGCCCTATCCTCCTCTTCCTGGGTCCCCTGCCAGCGATCTTGGCTCCTCCTCTTCTTAGTGTCCCCTCTCTTCCCCTTCACACAGGGAAGGGGGGGTGGGCAGAGGAATAGAAAATGTTTTCTACCTTAAGTGTTACTAAACCCGGGACCCTGCATTCACTATATCCTGGTGTCCCACAGTACGCAGAATATGGAAATGCAATTCTTGTAGTAAATACAAACTGCTAAATACCTTTTCTTAACAGCAGTATATAGCAGTCTTGTGACTTCTATCAGTGTCCGGCTGAGCACTGGTTAAAGCATGTAGGAGGAGTTTTCATTCTCCTCTAACTGTCCAATGAGGCTGCATAACCCCTGACCCTCTGTGTGGATGGTGCTGATTGGACCTGTGCTGATCACATGCACCCTTCCAAAGAAAAAAACTCTAGAAATAATACACACTAAATTGAGCATGTGCAAAGTGACTCCTAGAACTCTGTACTATCAGCAGATGGATTTGGGACTGTAGAAGGGGAGGATCAGAGAAGACAGGATCATACAGCCTTTTTACACAATGTGGAGAATGAACCCCTTAGGTTCCACAGTGAGTATAACAAGCATGATTTATTGCATATACAGACTGATTTTACTGTTGTGAGTTTAGTAACACTTTAATGCAAGGAATGCAAGGAATTAAGGTAAAAAAATTTTTAGCTTTTTTTAAATCACTTTATGTCAGAGGCAGGAGCAGAGTCAGATAAAGCTAAATTCAGAAAGTGGGAGCAGGATATAAAAGCAGAACAGGAGAAGGCTGAATCAGCAATGAAAAAGCATACAACAGTCCACAGGCTGGGTCATGAATAACTTGCTATAGACCAGTCAGCACTGACACTGTGTCAGGCTTTCCCATAAATAGTCCCTTTAGTGCCACTACTGATGCTGGATGTGGCACCACTCTACGTGCAGAGCCATGAACCAAGACACATGCACGAGCAGGTGCCCAGGCCAGCTTGCTAACAAGTAATCCCTTATGTACTAATATCTTCAAAAAATTCCATTTGAAAAAAATTCTTAATCTGTTGACAAGTTGCCTCTTGACCAGTTCTTACAGAATATGTAAGGATTCAGCTGTTGTTTATGCGCATGTTTTCTCTCTGGTCAAGACTACAGATTGAATATGCAAGAACATTCTTTGTTATTTAAAAATTAAATAATGCATATGAACAATAAAAATGTATTGTATCCAGTCAGCAGATTCTGTTTTCTGCAGTTGTTTTTGTTTTCGCTGTAAAGAGAGTGTAAAATGATATTCATGTATATTCAGAACACACAGCTGAATGAGTTAAATGGAGACAATTGCCCCACACCATCTTTAGTTCATAAAGCTCTACATAGAATCCTTGTTGAAGAGTAACAGTCCAAAAGTGAGCAACTACTGCTGTGCTGTGTTATATGAAGATCCTCAAAGCGCTATGGATTCTGTGCCATGGCTTCAACCCTTGACAAATACACCAATTAGCCATAACTTTATGATCACTGACAGGTAAAGTGAAAACATTGATCATTTTGTGGCATCTGAAAGTCAGCGGGATAAATTAAGCAGTGAGTAAACATGTTGTCCCTGAAAATGATGGGTTGAAAACAGAAAAAAATGAACATTCATTTTGTTATGTAAGGGGCTGTGTAGTCGCAGATCTGTCAGGGTGCCCATGGTGACCCATGTCCACAACTAAAAGTGCTTACAATGGGCATGTGAGCATCAGAACTGGACTACAGAGCAATGGAAAAAGGTGGCCTGGTCTGATGAATCATGATTTCTTTTACATCATGTGACTGGCTGGTTACATGTGTCACTTACCTGGGGAAAAGATGGCACTAGTATACAGTATGGGAAGAAGGCAGCGGGGGTAGTGTGATGCTTTTGGCAATGTTCTGCTGAAAATCCTTAGTCCGGCCATTAATGTAGATATTGCCTTGACATGTACCACCTACCTAAATATTGTTGCTGAACAAGTACACCCCTTCATAGAAATGGTACTCCCTGATGGCAGTGGCCTCTTTCAGCTGAATATTGCACCCTTCCACACAGCAAAATTGATTCATGAATAGTTTGAGGAACACAACAATAAGTACAGGCATTGACTTGGCCTCCAAATTCAACATCTGAGGGCTATTCTGGAAAAACAAATCCGATCCATGGAGGCCCCAACTTGCTACTGATGGCTTGTTGCTGGATACCACAGCATACCTTCAGATGTCTAGTGATGTCCATGTTGCAATGGATTAGGGTTTTTTTGGCAGCAAAATGGGAATCTACACAATATTAGGTGGGTCATCATAATGCTATGGCTGAGCAGTATATATTTTTAATTTAAAGAATTCGTACAAATAATAAAAAAAACAGTTATGTAATACATGTATAAACTTATAAACATGTCACCCTTTCAATATCCTAATCACTTAAACATTTAAATTAGCCTTAACTTATTCCAGCTGATCATTGTACATAGGATGTGTGTAGCATGTCCAGTCCTTCAGGCCTGCTCCTCCCTCCCAGTACACAGCAGTTGGGCTCTGACTAATCATAGCTGCATTGCTGTGTACAGAGAAGGTTAGTTGCTTTAGCAGTCTGACAGTGTTTATAACTAAGAAAGACACAATGTAACACATTGTTATTTTTGTATCATTCTGTTCATTCATCTGCAGATCAAAGTGATAAACTTTGATCTGCAGATGAAGTCAGTTAGAGCAACCGACAAAAAAGTTTTTATTTTTTTTAAAATAAAATGTTTTTTTGTTTAACCCTTTATTAAATTGATTGCAAATGTCCAGAATCATAATTTTAGTGCCAACTTTAGAATAAAATGCACGTTTTATCAGCAGCACCACTATTTGTTTTTATATTTTCATTCATTTTTATTAAAAGTTTTCAAAAAAATTTTTTTTACAGAAAGAAACATTTGGTTCGGTATAAATTGTATGCATACAATATAACTTTATTAGAATGTTACCCCACCTTTTGGCGGGGTTGGAACTAGAGTTGCAGCATAAGCATCAGAGGTATGCTTGGGGTGGACTAAACCGTGAGGAGGAGTAGTAAGTAGTAAGTGGAATTAAACAGGGGGGGAGAATATTAGGGTAGGGGGTAGTGGGGGGGATAAGTTATGGAAGGATGGAGGAGGAGTAGCAGTCTGATATAGATAGATATAGATTGTTTGTAAAAGTATCAGGGTTTGATGGAGCAGTTAGGATTTTGTAACCAGTTAGACCATAATGAATTAAACTTATGTTGAGTGGAGTTATTAGTGGCCAGTCTTTTTTCCATTCCGCATTGGAAGTAAGGATCTGAGACTAGCGATTGAAGGGAAGGGGCTGTGGTGGTATTCCAGGGTCGGGTTATATTTAGTTTAGTTGCAAAAAGGATGTGGACCATGATGGTACGGGAGGTATATGGGAATTTGTTAATCCCGATGTGTAAGAGTGCAAGTGCCGGATTTGGGGTTATCATTATTTTGGAAATTTCTGCTATTAGTTGGAATACACTATTCCAAAAGGATTTAATAGATTTGCAGGACCACACTATTTGTTTTTAAACTAAAATTGGTCAAAAAGAAAAAATATGTTTTGTTACATTTTATTGTCTAAGGATTTTGAAAAAAGAAAAAATTGTTGCCTGGCAATAGTCACAAGAAAAGCCTTGGTTATCCTTAAAATAGCAATATATTTACTATATTAATATAGGGAGTGAACGGGTGTGAGAGACAAAGTAGTATTAAACCCCCACTGTATTAGCTCCATGTTACTATTAACAATTGGTATGCCATTTAGTAGCAATTCTCCCCCAAACATTTGCCATGCTAAAAACTTGTACAATCAGTTTTCTGCTTACAGCACTTCCTGGAAATTCTGGAATGGGGAGTGCTCACCGTTGCATTAGATGACCTTCTTCTTTGGGATTACATGTCCCAGTATTCCTTGCAGCCAGTGTATAATGTGCATACATGTCCAGTCTAAAAGATCTTCAGCTGGTTCCCCGTCCCAAACCTTTTCTAGTCCAGGCCAGGAGTACACATGTCAGGGTGACTCCAGGGAGTCCCTGCATGGAAGTGTAGCCAGTCTATAGACAGAAATACCAGGGGCATAGATTTTATTGCAAGATTGTTGCAAAAACAGGCTGCAGAGACAAAGGGGACAGTGACAATAGATGTACATGAGGTATGGTGCTACTACACTTTATTTTAACAATAGTTCTATAATGTACAACGCTGAGCAAACTTTTTGGCTATTTTTTACAGCTATATAAATATTGTATAATAATAATAATAATAATAATAACACTTTAAGGTACATACACAAATTTCTAAAGTGGAGATAGTGGATACATACTATAGATGTGTCCCTATTCAGGAGATTGCTATTCACCTCCCATTTTTTTTTATGGGGGTGGGGTGTCACATTGATTAGGAAGAGATTAAAAATCTGTCCACTTCTTGTCTATTTGCTTTCCTTGTCTAATTTCTAGTAACGTAAATAATATTTAGAATCTCTTTCAAGGTTTGTATGGCTGCCTGTGTAACCATAATGGAGAATACCTGTAACATCCTGTCTGGTTAACAGGTATCAGAGAGATATGTTGGAATACAGGCACCATTTAAAACTTGACAGAATATCTAACCATTCCCCATTACTGATAGCAAAAAAGTATTGATTGATGCTGATGTTTACGCTACAGTCAGAGCCATACCAAAAGCTTGGATACACCCATACATCAAAAACCTTGCTTTGTCATTCACACAATCATGTTGATTTAGACCAATATATTTAATTGCAGTCTGCAAAGGTATTTGCTCCAAAGTTTAGTAAATGAGGTGAAGCACTGCTGCCTTTCATCATCCAATCATGTGAAAGCAAAAATGTCTTTTATTTTCCATGCATGTGATTGGGTGTTCTTTGCAAAGGGAAACTTCACTTCATTTACTCTGACCCCTGGTTCACACTAGCCTGCACACTTCTGGTTGGTTGCGGGTGCAGAAATCGCACCTGTTCCTGCGCCTACAATCACCCACAACCACATTGCGTTTCTCTTGCAAGATGCACGGGGGTGGTATTCATTCTAAATGGCACTCCCACTTATCTCATCTCGCAGCCCAATCGCTTGTGTGGGAACTGCACAGAAAATGCATCGTCAAAAAGACTATGTGGTTTCCCTGCGAATGCATTTTGGAAAAGGTGCATGCATCTTTTCCTTCCATGAAACAGGGGCACAACAGCCCATTCAAATGAGTTGGCTGTCGTGGCCACCGCACGGCCGTACTAGTGTGAACCAGGCCTGAAGCAAATGCCCTGGTAGAATGCAACTGCACTTGAACGTGTATGGTCTATTTGCCTTTAATAAATCAACCTCAGGGGGTCATGGTGCATGTATGTGAAATGCAAAGAATAATAATATAGATAGATAGATAGATAGATAGAGATATACCGTAAGTATGCTTTCAATTACTGAAAATGCCTTTTCTTCTAAATAGAGCAATTGATTAAAATAAAAAATGTTTTCCATTAAACATGAACACATATATAGAGTGCTTTCTCTAATTGACATCTCATGACCAGATGGCATGTTCAAATACTGGGATCACTGCCAGTCCTGACATTTTCTTTGCATACTAACATCTGCAGAATGGTTAATTAAAGCATACAGCTCTGATTTTTAGCAGTATATAAATTTCAAACTAAAGCCTTTGCGTGTGATCAGCATTTACCCTCCCCCCCCCCCCCTCCACCCAGTAGCTGAGCCACTTTGGCAGATCACTTTGGCTGGCATGGCTATCTGGCAAGGCATTTGAATTGTAATAATACACTAGGCGCTCTTTAATTGCTTGGGAATGCTGTCTTCATTACAAGGCCACTTTCAATTATATTTTGATTTTAGACAAATAAGGTGTTAAAAAGCAATATGTTATTCTCTAAATCACAGGAAAGTAATTTGGATCTGCTTTACAGCAGTACAGATTAATATTTTTTCCTGCACAACCCATTTAACTAAACATTCTCTGATTGCCTAGGGTTAAAATGTATTGCCAGATATGTGTTTTTAATTCATGAGTGCCTTTTTTTCTTTGCAATGCATACTTGCTAGGATCACTGACAAGCCCAAGAAAATGTGTCCAGTACTTAAGGGTATCTGGATCATGTGATGGCACTGGTGCTTTGTGATTGGCCCTGCACATGATATGCATACGCTAAGCTCAGACTGACTTGGAGTTTACACAGGGCTACTTTCTTTTTGCTCCATCTGTTGTTTCATCCTACATATCTAAAGTATTGGTTCACTTGACCACAGTCGTGAGAGTAAAGATATTAATGAAGACTTACACAGAGGGTAACAGTGACCTGCTATAGGTTCATTGGGTACTACTGAGCTAATACATAAAAAACTACTCTGGTTGTCAGGTTTGGAAAGTCAGGTTCCACAAATATCAGACCTCCACCCATGTGGCAGTGCTGGAGTCTAGTAGCCAATTGCTAGGCCTGAGCACTGTCACATGACAGAGGAAAGGGAGGTCACCACTCTCTGTTCTTCTGACACCGGCCATATCATGTATATACCAAATAGATGGGATGTGCTACAATTATAATATTTTATTTAAAAATCTCTGCTTTATCAAGCTTTGGTTGTATATGGGGATGCATGAAATTGTTGGATGAATACAATATTATATTTGCAGCAGGTTTTTGGTATAACATCCCGTCTATTTGATATATTGTAACAGTGAGTGTGGGGCCTGCTTGATGTGTAGAAGAATCTATCAACTGTTAACATGCAGATTGTATATAAACACTATATTGCCAAAAAGTATTGGGATGCTTGCCTTTACACACACATGAACTTTAATGGCATTCCAGTCTTAGTTCATAGGGTTGAATATTAAGTTGGACCACCCTTTGCAGCTATAACAGCTTCAACTCTTCTGGGAAGGCTGTCCACAAGGAGGGTGTCTATGAGAATGTTTGACCATTCTTCCAGAAGCGCATTTGTGAGGTCAGGCACTGATGTTGGACGAGAAGGGCTGGCTCGCAGTCTCCGCTATAATTTATCCCAAAGGTGTTCTATTGAGTTGAGGTCAGGACTCTGTGCAGGCCAATCAAGTTCCTCCACCCCAAACTCGCTCATCCATGTCTTTAAGGACCTTGCTTTGTGCACTGGTGCGCAGTTATGTTGGAACAGGAAGGGACCATCCCCAATCTGTTCCCACAAGGTTGGGAGCATAAAAATTGTCCAAAATGTCTTGGTATGTCGACACCTTAAAAGTTCCCTTTACTGGAAGCATGGGGCCAAGCCAACCCCTGAAAACCAACCCTACACCATAATCCCCCCTCCACCAAACTTTACACTTGGCACAATGCAGTCAGGAAAGTACTGTTGTCCTGGCAACCGCCAAACCAAGATGCATCCATCGGATTGCCAGACAGAGAAGCATGATTGGTCGCTCCAGAGAACACGTCTCCACTGCTCTAGAGCATTGGTCTTCAAACTGATACCAACAATGGGGCATAATTCCCCCCACTGACACCAACGATGAAGCACAATTTCTCCCTATGACACCAACAATGGGACCCAATGACACCGCTGATGAGGCACAATTCCTGTCACTGACACCAACGATGTGGCACAATTCCTTCTACTGACACCAAAGATGTGGCATTGTTTTTGCTCCACTGACATCGGGACCTCTCAAAGGTCACAGTCTGGCCCCCTTAACGTATGAAGGACCGTAAACTGGCCCTTTGCTAGAAAGTTTGGAAACCCCTGATCTAGAGTACAGTGGTGGCGTGCTTTACACTACTACATCTGACGCTTTGCATTGCATTGGTGATGAAAGGCTTGGATGCAGCTGCTCGGCCATGGAAACCCATTCCATTAAGCTCTCTACACACTGTTGTACTAATCTAAAGGCCACACGAAGTTTGGAGGTCTTTAGCTGTTGACTCTGCAGACAGAGACTTCTACGCACTGTGCGTCTCAGCATGCACTGACCCCCGCTCTGTCATTTTACATGGCCTACAACTTCATGCCTGAGTTGCTGTTGTTCCCAGTTACTTCCAGTTTGTTATAATACCACTAACAGTTGACCGTGAAATATTTAGTAGCAAGGAAATTTCATGGATGAACTTATTGCACAGATGGCGTCCTTTCACGGTACCACACTTGAATTCACTGAGCTCCTGAGAGCGACCCATTCTTTCACAAATGTTTGAAGAAGCAGTCTGCATGCTTAGGTGTTTGATTTTATACACCTGTGGCAATGGAGGTGATTGGAACACCTGAATCCAATGTTTTAGAGGGGTGTCCCATTAAGTTTGGCAATATAGTGTGTGTGTATATATATATATATATATATATATATATATATATATATATATATATATATATATATAGTACATGTACATATTTAAAGTATAACTGAAGGCAACACTTTTTTTTTTTTTAGTTTTGGATAGAGTGAAGAGCGAAAAAATGACACCTATTCACTCTCTATTTGTTCTGTTCACCATTATCATTGAAAGTGAAAGTAAAAGAAACCTCAAATTTTGTGTTGCATCCAGAAACATAATAGAGGGGAAATTTTCCAATGAGGACACTAGTTCTGGTGACCAGGGGGTCCCCAAGAAATTCCCTTAATTTGTAGAGTTTTTCTAACTTCCTGTTTTGGCTATGAGAATGGAGGTGAAGGTAAATCTCCCCAATGGGACACAGGTGGCAAAAAATAAATTGACAGGGGTTATAATCCTCCCTTACTCTATCCATAATGAAAAACGTTTTGCCTATAGCTCTACTTTAAGGGGTTGATGTACTAAAGGCAAATAGATTGTGCTTTTTGCAAGTGCAGTTGCATTTTGCAAGTCTGGTTACTCCAGAGCTTAGTAAATGAGGGGAAGCAGTTTTTTTTAACTTTTCCCTGCATGTGTTGGGATATTTTTGCAAAGTTAATCATAATTATACTTTATTTTCAAATGGCCCATAATGCTACACCTGTACCTATGTGCAGTATTTTAGCAAGTGTAATGATAAAATGGATTCACATTACTTTTCAGAAATGAAATTCCACCAATAATATTAGTTCATAAACACATGGAAAATACATTATACTTACAAGCTGCTCATTGCGCAAACATACTAAATAAAACTGTAAATGCCATGTAGAATTCTATGCTCTGAAAGACTCCAGTAATGAACAAATACCTCATCTGCAGCATAGACCCATAATTTCAGTAAATACTGATTCAAGCGTCTGGGTATGATCCATCCTTTCCATAAATACCAGTACATTTTCCGTAATGCCATGCATTTATATTTGTGAAATGCCAGCTATGTAAAATTGCACTTTAGTAGTCATTTATTCCAGGCTGTGTATTGGCATAATAAGCAGAATTGATGAAAAATGCTCTTTCTGTTCATGCATATATTAACTTAAATAATTAATTGTGAAAACAAAACTTGAAGTAATTGAGGCCAGCAGACTGTTTATGTAAAAGCACTCTTGACCAATAGCTAATAAATATTTAAAATAATATAAATCTTAATGGATGGTACTGGAGAACAGACCCACTGATTAGAACAACATTACCAATTAACTCTCTGTACATTCCTTTGCAGGTAAACATGTCTAGTTTTCTCGGTTAAAACCAGAATTTTTGGTTTCACATATTTCAGTAGGTTTAGCTGGCCACTAACAATAGAAAACCATATCAGCCATGAACTAAGCATTCTTTTGATAATGTAGTAATCTTTTGCCAACAAATACTGTGTTCACTACTCGGTCTACTTAACTGCTGACCAATATTTACAAGCAGTGTAACTGACTCAAACATCCTTGCATAATCAGACAGTGTAATGGGTAACAATCACAGGATAATGAATAGTAGCTGCAGAAATGTGCATTATTACTTGCAGAAACTTTCCAACATTTTGTACATAAGGAGATGGCACCCCTACAACATTTTTACCACTGGCAAACATTTTCCATGGTAAGGCAGGTCATGCAGATATAGGAATGAGAAGGGTCCCCTCTTGGTCTTGGGGGGAGGTTCACCACTTATAAATAGCCCATTTAATTTACTTCTGCTAACCTGTGTTTGGATGTCACAGACAGGGCTCACCCAATGGCAATATTACAAATATATTATGAGTCCAGTGGGCTGAATTACTTGGCTGTCTACTTGCCATGTTGAAGTTATGGATGTTCCGGCAATCCATCACGAGTTCCCATTCTTCCTTATTTCTTATTTATATTACATAACAATAAAGAAAATCCAACAGGGGTAGTTTAACAGAGACCCCAATATAATGCCACAGGTGATTGTAGCCATATTAGTGCATTTGCGACAGAAACAATTGAGTACTGTCCATGATACTTTTCTTATTTGCACTAACATACAAGTTTGAGGACAAGCTTTCGGGGTATGTCCCCTTTTTCAAAGTACAAGCAGTACTATTACAAATCACAAAGTTTAAGTAGAATGTTAGAAGGGATGAAAAAAAAAAAGGCTACAGATAAGATACAGCAAAAGGGGGGGGGGGATACTACACTCACACAGAGGGAGTCAAGCTAGCTAATAGTCATAAAACTGTTGGATAATGAGTGAGGAATCCCATGTCCAAATTAAGGCCGTTATCTCTTTTGTCAAATAGAATTATCATTCTTAGTTCAACAGTTTTTCTTTCCTGAATGGATTTGAATTTTCCTTTCAGAACTAAAACATTGAGGTATTGTGTGGGTAGGAAATGCAAGCATGAACATTTCACTACTGTTGTCCTTGACACAGAACATAGGAAAGGGTTAGTTTTTGCATATGCCAAAAACTGAAATTTCTTAACCCTTGAAGTAAGCAGCTATATTTTAGGAAGTTCAATGTATTTAAAATAATTGGTGTATTTTTAAACAAGTTGAATTAGTAGTCACAGTAAACGCCAATTAAAATATATTGGTTTTATTTTCTTTGTTTTCTTTTCCAAGAGAGCTATCCGAGTAAGAAGTCATTCCATGGAAACCATGGTGGGAAGCCAGAAAAAGCATCAGTCCGGGGGGATATCTGGAAGTCTGAGTGGAGGCATTGTGCATACGAGTGCTGAAATGACAAAAACCACCTTCTCTGTAAGAATTCCCATTACAATTGATTTAAGATTTAAAGGATAAGTTCACCTTCTGGACAAAAATAATAAATACACATTTTTTTGCAGGTAAAAAAATGTGCATTTATTATTTTTGTCCTAAGGAGCCTGGAAAGCATTCCACCAGTGATCAGTAGATTGCTGATGCCATGCAGGTCTCCTGCAGACCTGTCAGAATGTCTATTTGCTGTACGGTCAAGCAGATATACTGACTGGAAGCTTCAATGAAAACTACAAGCCTATAGCTGCTAAGGCTGTCGGTGCTTGCAGTTTATTCATTCACAGAAGCCTGTGAATGAATCACGTGGCCGTGCGGGGCAGATAGTATGGGAAAACCTCTCTACGTACTATCTGTCAGAGGGAGGGGGGGGGCGGTGGGCACGTCTGCCGCTATGGGAACATGGTACATGTTCCACCCTAAAAATGGGTGTAACATGTTCCAAAGGTAAACTTATCCTTTAACACTTGACTGCATGATAATCAGGAAACAGTGTCATAATGGTATAAAAAAAAAGATATATATATATTTGGCCTAATGCTACCCTATACACATTGCTCCATTAGTTTCTGCCATATAACAACAATTAACTGTATTCATTTTACTCACTGTCAGCACAGCGTACCTTCCACATGCCAGTATCGCCTCCACCTTTATAGCATATGGCTGCATGCACTTCTGGGTTTTGCCCTAATTGTCCTACCCATCTCCAATCGCAGTGTCCTCCCCCAATGGGACACATCCAATAAAAGCAGTAGTTTCCTGCTGTTTGCCAAGCAACTCTTGTTTTCCTTGTCTGTCTCTTAGTAGTGTTCAGTATCCTGACCATCTGCTTGTAACCTGGGGTCTGTGTCTGCTGCTTGCCCTAACCTCTGGCCTGTAGCCTAGTATCCATGTCTGCTACCTGCCTTGACTATTATCTTGTATCCTGGTACCAATGTCTGTTGCTTGCCCTGACTTCAATCTTTGATCCTGCTATCTATGTCTGCTGCCTACTCTGACCTTTGTCTTATATCTTGGTTAACTGTGTCTTTTGCCTGTCCTGACCATGGACTTGTTTCCTGGTTATCTAGGTCTACTATTTGTTTTGACCTCTGACCTGTATCCTGATGACACAATCTGCTCTGCTGCATCCAACAGACCAATCACCTGCTCCAGTTCTAATTCCTGGTGTCTTCCTACTCCATGTTTTTTTTTGGCCCATGGTGCTTAGAACAGGGTGAACCCTAGTGTTCCAGTGTGATCCTGTGTAGCTCCTGTTCCACATATTAATCAAGAAAACGCACGCCAAAAAAAATGTATTAAATTCCTAAACCAATGCTGCTGTTCTTTGCTGACAAACCAGCAAACTAAATAAATAAAAAAAAAAAAAAAACACCGCGCAAAAAATATATATAAATAAATAAATCACAAAACTTAAATGAAAAATATATAAAATAATATATAAAATAATGTCCAAATCAAAAGAGCAAAAAAATAAAAGTTCCAGTCCAAAAAAAATAAGATATCCTAAATCCAATGTGCTCCAAAGAAATAAATGAAAAAAAGGTGCCGTATGCAGAAAACTTCAGTGTATAAACACCATCCGTGATAACCAACATATACTGCACTCACCAAATATAGTGGACTCTCAGTGATTAAGAGTCAAATATGCTTTATGGATATTATATATCCTGCCAATAGGGGTTCCACTGTTTAGAAGAATGCTCCAATAGAAGGATTTCCCACACAATTTGATCAGTGTAAAAAAGAAAAAACTGAAAAACTGATAGTGTAATATTGTCAAAAGAATTTAATTCTAATAATAGATGCATCAATTGCACTCACATGTTAAAACAACAAGAAACGCCTTGGGTCAATTACATATGACCATCAAATCACTTTCTGCCAATGAAGATTCCCATAGTGTGTGAACTGGCAGCTCAGATACAGTTGCAAGAAAAAGTATGTGAACCCTTGGGATTAAGTGGAGTTTTGCATGAATTGGGCATAAAATGTGCTCTGAACGTCATCTAAGTCACAACAATAGAAGAACGCAGTCTGCTGAACATAATACTACACAAACATTAGATGTTGCCATGGTTTAATTGCACATACCATGTAAACATTCAGAGTGCAGGGAGGAAAAAGTATGTGAACTTTTGGACTTAATAACTGGTTGACCCTCCTTTGGCAGCAATAACCTCAACCAAACGTTGCAGATCAGACCTGCACAACGATCTGGAGTAATTTTGGACCACTCCTCTTCACAAAACTGTTTCAGTGTAGCAATATTCTTGGGATGTCTGGTGTGAATCGCTCTCTTAAGGTCATGCCACAGCATTTCAATCGGGTTGAGGTCAGGACTCTGACTGGGCCACTCCAGAAGGCGTATTCTGTGCTGTTGCAGCCATTGTTTTGTTGAATTACTTGTATGCTTTGGGTCATTGTCCTGTTGCATCAAGCATCCTCTGCGGAGCTTCAGTTGGCGGACAGATGGTCGTACGTTTTCCTGCAAAATGTCTTGATAAACTCTGGAATTCATTTTCCCATCAATGACAACAATCCGTCCAGGCCCTGAGGCAGCAAAGCAGCCCCAAACCATGATACTCCCTCCGCCATGTTTTACAGTGGGGATGAGGTTTTGATGTTGGTGTGCTGTGCCTTTTTTTCTCCACACATAGTGTTGTGTGTTCTTCCCAAACAACTCAATCTTGGTTTCATCTGTCCACAGTACATTTTGCCAGTAGTGCTGTGGAACATCTAGGTGCTCTTTTGCAAACTTCAAACGTGCTGCAATATTCTTTTTGGACAGCAATGGCTTCCTCCGTGGTGTCCTCCATTCTTGTTTAATGTTTTCCTTATTGTAGATGTGTCAACAAAAATGTTAGCATATGCCAGAGATTTCTGTAGGTCTTTAGCTGACACTCTGGGATTCTTCTTTACCTCATGCAGCATTCTGCGCTGTGCTCTTGCAGTCATTTTTACAGGACGATCTCGCCTAGGGAGAGTAGCAACAGTGCTAAACTTTCTCCATTTGTAGACAGTCTGTCTTACCGTGGACACATGAACATCAAGGCTTTTGGAGATACTTTTGTAACCCTTTGCAGCTTCATGCAAGTCAACAATTCTTGATCGTAGGTCTTCTGAGAGCTCTTTTCTGCGAGGCATGGTTCACATCAGACAGTGCTTCTTGAAACCAGTAAACCCAAAACAGGTGTGTGTTTTTTAAGAGCAGGACAGCTGTCAGCAACACATCCAATATCATCACACTGATTGGAGTCAAGGTTGGCTCACTCCTGGCTCCAATTAGCTCTGGGAGAAGTCATTAAGCTAGGGCCTCACATACTTTTTTCTCCCTGCACTGTGAATGTTTACATGTTATGTTCAATTAAACCATGGCAACATCTAATGTTTGTGTAGTATTATGTTCAGCAGACTGTGTTCTTCTATTGTTGTGACTTAGATGACGTTCAGAGCACATTTTATGCCCAATTCATGCAAAACTCCACGTAATCCCAAGGGGTTCACATACTTTTTCTTGCAACTGTAGATACAGACACAGTAAAGATGGCTCTGAAATGCAGCTTCCCACGTGCGTTCCACTTGCCGGAAGTGATGTCAATGCGTTTCGCCCCTCCTCCAGGGTGTTATCAAAGACACTGAACTCCAGTAATTCCTTCCTAAAATACTCCCTTACCATTCCACCCTCTGTTCCACATGTCTAGCTCCCAACATTATCTGTTCGAGTGTGATCCTGTGTGGGTCCTGTTCCACAGATCTAGCTCCTAGATCTTACTTGTCCATCCAGTTTCAAGTTTTCATCAGTTCAGTGGTGCTTTGCCCTATGCAAAACGAGTGGTCAGCTTACACTTTGTCTACTGCCTCTCTTGGGTACTCAACACACACTGCAGCTGGTGGATTAACATAAGGGCAGGCCTGCCACTCACAGAGTGTAAGCCCTGACACTGAAAAGATTAAACAATTAGGATTAAAAACAAAATGAAGGATAAGTTCACCTTTGGAACATGTTACATATTCTACCTGCTTTTAGGGTGGAACATGTAACATGTTCCCATAGCCACAGCTGCAGGGAGAAGTTTCTCCGTACTATCTGTCAAATTTGAAAACAGCGCAGTCGTGCAGGGCTCCGCCCACACGGCCATGCCATTCATTCATGGACTTCCGTGAATGAATGAACTGGAAGTCCCAAGAGCCTAAGCGGCTGTGGGCTTGTAGTTTTCAATAAACTACCATGGCACTGTGGAGCGCAGTGGTAGTTCATTACTGCTTCCTGTCAGTATATCTGCTTGACTGTACATCCCATCCAGCAAGCAGATATTCTGACAGGTCTGCAGGAGTCCTGCATGGCATCAACGATCTACTGATCGCTGGTGCAATGCTTTCCAGGCTTCTTAGGACAAAAAATAATAAATGCACATTTTTTTTACCTGCAAAAAAATGTGCATTTATTATTTGTTGTCCAAAAGGTGAACTTATCCTTTAAAATCTAGCCATTTTTTCCAATTTTGGATGGAGTACGGAAACATTATAAACTCTCTTGGCTTTTTATTATTATGTGGAGCTCCATTTACTTTTACTTACTGTTAAAGTAACAATAGTTTCACCAGACCAGAAGTCTGGTGAAACTTGTAAAGTGAGGAGCTAGTCAGAATTGAGGAAAAACTTGCAAAAGAGTCACAGGCAGCAATAAAAAGCTGGCAGTGGTTCTAGCCTTCCCATATATAATATAAATAGCATTTTCTATTTCTGTCTCTGTCACTTTTTTGGTGTTTTCCTTGCTTTCTATTTAGTGAAACTATTGTCACGGGGATAATAAATGAAAGGAAATCTCTTTTTGACTGGACATCCACTTTAATACATTGTTTAAGACAATAATAATATGCAGCAGATTGAATGTCCATGGGTTAGTATACTGTTACACCCTAGTAAAGTTCTAGTACAGTTTTTACATTCTCTGGCACTTTGTATAACTGTACTTGGGGTGGGTAATACGGGTAGCTGGGGTATTTATAAGGGTGGTTTGTGCCAAATACACCCATTCTGATACAGACCCTGACACCTGATTCTGAGCACGCAGAGAGCCAAATAATTTAAACACTGCACTGGATACCTAGGTCAGACACATCTAATCAGGCTTTAACCACTTAATGGTCGTCTGCAATGTACTGCGGTCAGGTGGCCACTGTAGGTAAAGTGACACACCCATATGGCACTGCCTAGCAGGGATGAGAAACCTAGATATCTATTAGTAAAATTTGAACACTTTACACACATTACACATATTTAGGCATACATTTAGCCCGTTAATTGCCCTAGATGTTAACCCTTTGCCAGCCAGTGTCATTAGTACAGTGACAGTGTATAGTTTTAACATTGAATACTGTATTAATGGCACTGGTGATGTCAGTGGTAGTTAGTCAGTTCCCCCCAGCATCAGTTAGTGTCAGATTGCCCGTCGCACTATTGCAGTCCCATTGTATCATCGCCATTAGTACTATAAACATAAATAAATATCCCAGTACATATACCATAGTTGTAGGTGCTATAACTTTCACTCAAACCAATCAATATATACTTATTGGGATTTTGTTTTAGCAAAGGCAGAATACATTTTGCCCAAAATTTATGAAAAAATTAGATTTTTTAAATTTGTGTATTGGATACGTTTTATAGTATAAAGTAAAAAAAAAACATATTTTCAAATCAAATACTACCAAAAGAAAGCTCAATTTGTGTTACAAAATAATATAAATTTCATTTGGGTGTAGTTTTGCATGGCCGTACAATTACCAGTTAAAACAGCACAGTCCGTTATACCAAAAAATGGTCTGGTCATGAAGGGGGTAAAATCTTTCAGAGCTCAAGTGATTAAACATTAGGCACAACATTATATATTCTCCTCACGTGTACTTTACACTTTTAGGCCAGGCATAGGCAACAAATGATTGTGAAAGCCTAGTTTTGAAGACCAGCTAATAATTAAATAGGTTATATTTAGTTACCTAAACAGCATTTAAATTAGAAGCTATAGAAGAGGTTTTTTTTTTCTTTATAAGTGGAGTCATTTGGCTCTAGAAAACAACACAATGATAATATACCTCCCAGAGACATCTATTGGAGGTTTAAAGTGACAGCCAAATTAGAATTATTCTTTTGCCCAGAACAAAAACAAAGCAATCCATGATTACAATGAGAGGAGCCCACAGTCGCTGCTAATGCTCCTGTTTTGTGTCTTATCTTTCCTTTAGCAGTGAAAGAGAAATTTTGCATATTAGAACTGCCCAACCATATTATCATTAGCTTAAAGCAGAACTCTAGTCAAAGTAAAAATGAAGGCCCCTTAAAAGGAAACTTAAAAAGGCTCTTTTTCTGCAATACATATCTTTAATCCTGAGCCTGTTCCCCACAATATACTGTATCTGTTCTGCCCAGGGGCAGACTGACCATTTGGAAACTCGGGCACTGCCGAGAGCCTGGGGTCAGTAGGGGGACCCATGAGATGCCCCTGGTACCTTTTTCATAGGCTTTTTTGAGTTTGGGCAAGGACACAGGGGCCCCATGATCCTCTATTGCCCAGGGGCCCCATGAGTTGTCAGTCCGCCCCTGGTTCTGCCACTAGATTTTTTTCAGTCCATCATGCTGAATGATGGCTAGTATTCTTCCTTTGAATCCAGGCTATCATGAACCCACCCACTGCCTGTGATCAGGCAAGGAAAGGAGAAGCAGCAGACTGATGAGCTCATCTCTCTGTCATACTGCTCTCTCCTCCTATTAGCATGTGATGGACATGAGAACTCTAGCACATGAGCTGTGATTTTAATGCAGGTTAGCAAATGACAGCAAATATCTGTTTTTATAATGAATGTGATAACATTTTTATTTTTATGTTACCATTTACAAAAGATAAATTAGTACGTGTTATGAACAAACACTTTTCATTGCCATAAATAATTGAAATGTTATGGAGTTTCATTTTAAAGGGTAAATAGTTAGCAAACTATTTTCTTTTGTTGCCATGTACAGCACATTTTTATTATAAAATGTCTTAAAATGTGTATTGCCTTCAGCTAATATGCCTTGTTTTATTGCAAATGTGTTTTACAGCCCCCCGCCGTTGTGACTAAGACACAGTCCAAAAGCCCCATAAAACGAAGATCAGGTCTTTTTCCTCGATTGCACACAGGGCCTGAAACCCAAATGGAGAGCCGGACTCGCAGGTAAGAAAATTTTATTTCTCTGAATTTACTACATATGCATTCCGTCATTAACCAATTCAATACCGGGCAATTTTACACCTTCCTGCCCAGGCCAGTTTTCAGGTTTCAGCGCTCTCACACTTGGAATGACAATTGCACGGTCATACAACATTGTACCCAAACTAAAATTTTAGCATTTTCTTCACACAACTAGAGCTTTCTTTTGGTGGTATTTAATCACCGCTGGGGTTTTTATTTTTTGCTAAATTAACAAAAAAAGACCAAAAATGTTGAAAAAAAACACATTTTTCTTTGTTTCTGTTATAAAAGTTTGCAAATAAATAATTGTTCTTCATAAATTTAGGCCAGGATGTATTCTACTACAGGTCTTTGGTGAAAATAACCCAAATTAGGATGTATTTTTTAGTTTGTAGGAAAGTTATAGAGTTCACAAACTATGGTATAGATCTGAAAATTGATCAATCCTGAAGTACTGACGGCCAATCTAATTTCTTGAGGTCCAAGAATGTCAGAACAGTACAGATATCCCCAAATGACCCCTTTTTGCAGAGTAGACAGTCCAATGTACTTCATAAGTGGCATAGCGAGTTTTTTGAAGTTGTATTTTTTTTGTCATAATTTTTTGGAAAATTAAAAAATGCAAAAAATTATTTTCACTATTTTTTTTTTACATACTGTCACCAGTGCAGTACAGCGTCTTCATATAACTGGCATGGTGATGATCAGGGACACTGACTGGTGACAGTATGAAAAAAAAAAAAAAACAATTTCTATTTTTTTTCATTTTTTTATTATTTTTAATTTTTTATTACATTTTTTTTATTTTTTTTAAGATTTTTTTTTCATATTTCACTATGTCCAAAGTAGTACAATGCTACCATAGTAACATTGTACTACTTTGGGGAAGTGATCAGTATTTTTTTATTTTTTTTTTTACACAATTTGCTTATAGCAAAGAATTACTTTGCTATAAGCAAGCATTTACCTGAATGACATCGATTCATTCAGTTTTTTTTTTTTTTTTTTCTTTTTTGTGCTTAGCTGTGATTTGGCCACAGCTAATCACATGACATGTGCATGTGATTAGCTGTGACCATTCAAAGCTAGATACTAGTATACAATGCATGGCATGAATGAAGCCATCCATTGTATACAACTGTCATGTGACCTGCTGTGATTGGTCACAGCAGGTCACATGGTACCGGCAATGGGGCCGATACTCAGATTTGTCATCGGCCGTGTCCGAGGTACACGGCCGGTGACAGATCGCGTACTGTGCGGCTCTGAAAGCGCGAAAAGTGCGCATGTGTGGGAGGACGCCATATGGCGTCCACCCGGAACGCTGATGACATTTGCCGGCCGCCATTCTGCCATAGGGCGGGCTGCAAATGGTTAAGTTCACCAAGCTAAAAACACTGAATACACTTAGGCTGGCCATACATTATACAATTTTCTTGAGATTTTTGGTTTAGATTTACCAAAAACCATATAATAGGAGGTCAAACCTAACAACAATTTCAATTCTATCCAACTAGGCAGATTCTTGCACTACATAGTTGAAGGTAAATCTAAAAAGAATTGGGCAGAAATTGGACAGAACATTGTAGAGTGTATGGCCAGCCTTAGGGGGAGATTTACAAAAAACTGCAGCACTCAGAATCTGGCGCAGCTGTGCATGATAGCCAATCAACGTCTAACTTCAGCTTGTTCATTTAGGCTTTGACAATTACCACTGGTTCACATTAGTATGGGCTGTGTACCCCTCGTTTACACAGGCATGGCAGCCCATTCATTTGAAAGGGCTGCTGTGCCCGCATTTCACGCAGTGAGAAGGTACATGCACCTTTTCCAAATGCATCTGCAAGGAAACCACATGGTCTTTTTGACCATGCGATTTCTGTGGGTTTCCTGCACCCTCGATCGAGCTGCGGGGTGAGTTGTGCCATCCCCCCCACCCCCGTGTGTCTCGCAAGAAAAATGTGATGCGGCTTTGGGTGGTTGTGTAAATTGCATCAAGCGTGTGTGCTAGAGTGAATCTAGCTTAAAACTGAAAGCAGATTGGTTTCTACGCAGAGCTGCACCAGATTTTGCACTCTCCTGTTTTAGTAAATCTCCCCTCAGCCCCTCAGAATCTATTGAAGCCAAAGGCAGTTGGGACAATTGAATTTTCATACGGAGGTTAGTAATAGAAGCCTGCATTTTTTAAAGGAAAACTATGCTCAAAGAAACCTAACCAGTAGGTATTACAGCATACACCTGGTCATCTCTTAATATTTATTACCTCACACCTAATTTACTCCCAGTAATTATTACAATTATTACATACACTTTCTAGAAATAGTTATTACATTAAACACCTTATCATTTCCCAGAAGTTATTATAACAAACATCTAACCATTTTCCTGTCGTTATTAAACCACACATCTGGGACCATGCACACTGGGCGTTTGTCCTGCTCCTCCAAACGCCTTTGCTCCTGGCAGAAAATAAGCAGCTTAAAAATGTGTCTAAAGTTGCACTTTGCAAATGCATTTAGGTGCGTTTAGATGTGTTTAGGGCGCATCCATTCCCTTGGCCAGGATGTTCATTTATTCACACACCTTACTCTTTAGTAGTAGCTATCATGGTACACAGCTGGCTATCTCCTGGTAGCTATTGTTGAAAGCACTCCTCATGTGGCTACTATGGACAAAGCTTGCTGGAGTTCTCCTTTTAAGTTAGATCTTTATTCTTATTTTACATGGCAAAGCTAAAACCCAAATTCATTCTGTATCATTGTGTGGAAATGTGATTCTTAGTGTAGGCTCAATGCTGCTCTTTTCTTTGACATTTCCAAATGTTAGCTTCTATATTGTAAAAAGGGAACTTTTGTAGAGTGTAAGAGGTTCTTGTTTCTCTTGTCTTTACCTGTCATCGCTGCATGGCTGGTAAGAACATCTCCCCTTACTGAGTCACGGTACCTGCCTGACAGTTTGCTCATGAAATATAATAATCCTTTAGGCCCTGTTCATTGTATTGTTTTGTGGTATTGTGCTCTAACAATTCATTGTGTAAATAGGGCCTTAAAATGAATCTCTTTATAGGCATTTAGGCAACAGATGATATACTGTATAATGTTTACTCAACAACAGGTATAAGTTGTTTAATTTTTGTCTATGATAAAAGGAAATCGGCAATGCAGCATTAATGTAAATGAGAAGCATAAGCAGCCATTCGCTGATGTTGGGACAGTGAAACTGAATGTATTCAGCTTCACTATGATTCTCATCACTTTTCATCTCATCATACACATCACACAGCACCTGCAAGCCAAGATTTAGAGAAACTACTATTCCAAGGCCTTTACCCTAAGTGTTTTGCTTCCTCACAGGTTCCCTTTGCAAGTAAAATATATGTTTATGTGCTTTGACCTATTTGGGTGCACTGCTAAACCCAGGACCCTGCATTCACTCTGTCTGGTCTCCCACAGTACACAGAACATGGAAATGCAATTATTTTAGTAAATATAAACTGCTAAATACATTTTCTCATCAGCAGTTAGAGCAGTCTTGTGACTTCTATCAGTGTCCAGCCGAACACAGGTTAAAGCTTGTAGGAGGAGTTTTCATTCTGCTCTAGGAAGATTCAGTGCTGATTGGCTCTGTGCTGATCACATCCACCCTCCCAAGAAAAAAAAAGACCTCACTAGCAATACACACCAAACTGAGCTTGTGCAGAGTGTCTCCACATGATAGGTCTTATCAGGAGATAAGAAGGGGACACTGGAAGAAAGGGAGGATCAGAGAAGTCAGGATCAAACAGCGTTTTTACACAATGCGGAGGATTAACCCCTTAGGTTCCATAGTGAGTATAACAAGCGTGGTTTACTGCATATATAGGCTGATTTTGCTGTTGTGGGTTTAGTAACACTTTAAGTAATAACTTCGAGGGCTACATAAAATATTTATAATTCAATCACCTAAGAAACCTAAACCTTGAAAAACTTAAAAACTGAATAATTTTATGCTTAGTTTGTATTCAGACCTCATGCACACATGTATTAAAATATTACTATGTACATCTTTCTGCTAAGAGCTGGCAGAAAGAATCCAACTAAAAAATTGCTCATTTTTGTGCATAATTATATGCAATTTTGCACATATGGCATCTGGAAGGTAATGCAGGTAAACACATTCTATTGGCTAGAACGGGTGTCGGCAACCCGCGGCTCCAGAGCCGCATGCGGCTCTTTTTCATCTTTGCTGCGGCTCCGGAGCACACTGCCCACCAGGTGACAGGCAATAGGGTTTCAGTGGTCGGCAAGCCGCGGATCGCAAGCCACATGCGGCTCTTCTGTGTGCCGGGCGCCCGCTCCCCTCCCTCCTCTCGGGCGGCCGCCTCAAAAGTCAGGACTCTTTTAATCCGGCCCGCGGAGCATGGAACATTAGCTGTCAGGATGTAGGCGGGGCAGCCAGGATGTAGGCGGGGCAGCGTGACGAACTCCTCTCACAGTCCGCCCTGAAGACCGGAACACAGCGCGGGAACACAGCGAGAGGAACGCGCGGAGCAAAGGTAAGTGAATTGAGACAATATGGGGAATTAATTACTATAGGGGGCATGAATTACTATGGGGGATGAATTATTATATGGAGGATTAATTACTATGGGGGATGAATTACTATGGAGGATGAATTACTATATGGGGGATGAATTACTATGGGGGATGAATTACTATGGAGGATGAATTACTATATGGGGGATGAATTACTATGGAGGATGAATTACTATATGGAGGATGAATTACTATATGGGGGATGAATTACTATGGAGGATGAATTACTATGGGGGGATGAATTACTATGGGGGATGAATTGCTATATGGGGGATGAATTACTATGGGGGATGAATTACTATGGAGGATGAATTACTATAGGGGGGATGAATTACTATAGAGGGGATGAATTAATATAGGGGGGATGAATTACTATATGGGGGATGAATTACTATGGGGGATGAATTACTATATGGGGGATGAAGCTAACTGCACGATCCTGTATATAGCATTTAGGTAAGAAACAATATATGCAGTGTCGGATTTGTTTTAAATGTTGCAATGGTTTTGCGGTTCCCAGTCTTTTTTTTCCCTTCGGAAACGGGTCCAAGTGGCTCTTTATGTCTTAAAAGTTGCAGACCCCTGGGCTAGAATAATCATTAATACTAGCCACTAGAATGTATTTACCTGCATTTATGTACTTCTATGCACGTTTATATGTCAAAAAAGCACAAATACACTTCCCCAGGAACAACATAATGCTTTTGCTGTGTCTTTGATTACTTCTGGATCAAGTGTGCAAGTTCTGATCTCATTATCTCATAACTGAGTATGTTTTAAAGCTGAACTCTACTCACCTTGGCTCCAGAGATGCAACATCCTTGAGGTCCCGTCAGCCACTGACATCTTTCATTGGCTGGACCGAATTGATGTCATTCCATGCATGCGCAGGAGTTCAGTTGGCTTCAGCATTGTCAAATTTCTTCAGTGAGCTGCGCTTGCAAAGTTCACAGTACAGGGCGAACAGGCAGCTAGATTACTTTAATGCAGAAGGGACAAAGCATGTCTCTTCTGCATTAAAAATCAAGCCTGTTCACCCTTTTTTAACTTTTTCGTAAAGTTCTACTTTAATCAGAAACTCAACATACTACAGAAAGAAAAGGTAAAAAGATACAATTTACATGTTATTATGGCATACAAAAATGCATCTGCAATGGGGAATAAATAACTAATTAATGGAAAGAGGAAGAAGCCGATTTGTAATCACTCCACAGGTGCTCTTAGTTTGCTCTCATAGTAAAGCAGTTGATTAATCAAAACTACTTATTTAAGTGCATATTCTACTTTTTTTTGGCTTAGTTTAGGATGGAGGAGGGGGAGAGGTAGCACTTCTGTCAAGTTTTAAATTCTATAGGGACCTTTATTAAGCAAAATAGCAACAACATAGATGCAAATCAGGCTGCTTGTCAGATATCAGCATGGTCTATTCTACAATCTGCAACCACTGCACTTGTAATCACTGTGCTTGTAATCCTGGGCAGCAAATTGAAACAGAAACAGATTTGCACACACAATGCAGAAGTGGTCAGAGTCAGGTTTTATTCTTACGCAGTGCTACTTTAGACCAACAAGGGGAAGAATTTGTAGACCAAGCTGCATACTTATAATAAAACTGTCTCATAATCTGTTTTTCTGGTGTCTACATGGCATCATATTGTAGTTGGTGCACCATCCCATCTAATCCACAGGATGAGTTATAGCTCTATAAAAGTATGGCAAGATAGTCTACTCACCATTTAATACATGTTTTTCTTATCATACATTCCCTCCTGTGTAGCCAGTTACTACACATATGTATGCTGCCGTGTAGGTATGAATACTCCCCTTCATTTCCTGTTGCCTATCCATATCAGCATTTTTTGCCTACCTTTGCACACTTTTTAATCAGAGTATAGCATCAAGTCAATTAAACTCCTGGGATATTGAGCTGCTCAGTTAGGTAGCAGAGGAGGTTGTTAATCAGTTTCAGCTGCTTTGGTGTTAATTAAATTAACAACAGGTGCACTAGATGGGCAACAATGAGATGACCCCCAAAACAGGAATGGTTTTACAGGTGACATTTGTTTTCCCTACTCATCTTTTCTGACTGATTTTCACTAGTTTTGCATTTGGCTAGGGTCAGTGTCACTACTGGTAGCATGATGCGATACCTGGACCCTACAGAGGTTGCACAGGCAGTCCAACTCCTCCAGGATGACACATCAATACATGCTATTGCCAGAAGGTTTGTTGTGTCTTCCAGCACAGTCTCAAGAGCATGGAGGAGATTCCAGGAGACAGAATTTATAATTATCCCTCTATATGTGTATTCACTGGGAAAAAATAGTTAACATCATGCCTTTGTGTCTTGAAGACTATTACATGTGATGTTTTCAAAGTGACCTGACTGCAATAATTCAGCCAGGATCTGACTAATTATGGCTAAATTAGAAGGGAATTGTGAACTCTTTCAAGCATTACTGCCTATTATGCCATTAAAACATTTAGTGATTTTACAATTTTTTTGGAAAAGCATCTCATAAATAGCCCTTATCATTAAGTGTTGACTATATCTCAGCCACAATTCTACAATGACCGACTAAATATGATGATCACAGTGGATTTGAACATGGACAGATATCTCACCATCATTCTTGCTAAAACCTCTCTATGGTCACCCTTATAGATTTGATCCCCACTTCAGTTGATCCTGAATAAGGCAGCCAGACTCATTCACCTTACCAACCGCTCCGTTTCCGCCACCCCCCTCTGCTAATCCCTCCACTGGCTTCCGATTGCACAACGGATCAAATTCAAAATCCTAACACTGATGTACAAAGCTGTCCACCATACTGCCCCAAATTACATCACCGACCTAATATCCAAGTACCACCCAACACACACACTCCGCTCCTCTCAAGACCTCCTTCTCTCTAGTTCCCTGGTCTCCTCCTCAAATGCCCACCTCCAGGATTTCTTCAGGGTGTCACCCATCCTCTGGAACTCCCTACCCCAACCCATCAGACTATCACCTACTCTCCTCTCCTTTAGGCGCACCCTGAACATCCACCTGTTCAGGGAAGCCTACCCCACCCCCTGCTAATTGCCGACCTCCTCCACTCTTCCTACCACTCCATCCCCCACAGTTATCTTCTCCTGTACCACTATCCCCTCCCTCCTAGATTGTAAGCTCCAAGGAGCAGGGCCCTCGAACCCCTCGTGTATCACATTGTATTGTTATTGTACTGTCGCATGTTCTGTCTCCCTTTGTAATGTACAGCGCTGAGCGAACTGTTGGCGCTTTATAAATACTGTATAATAATAATAATAATTTGATATCTTTCTCAACCAGTCTATGTGTTAACCTTAATTACATTAACGTTTTGTTTTATTGTTTAAAGTGATAGCATGTCCACTACTCCGAAAACCCCAGACTGTGCACATTCATCGCAGGATGTAAAATCTGAAACCTCATCGAATCCCAGTTCTCCAGAGATATGTCCCAACAAAGAGAGGTAAAGGATCATGTTTTAAAACATCATATTGTGGCAAAAGAACATTAATTTAGTAAAATGCTTGCATTTTCATCATTGCTCTTATGTTATTCTGACAGCAAGGACTCTTCTCAGTTTCTTGTCCCTGTGTTTTACTATCGTATATGTTACAGATAAATATCTATTAATATATGTGTAATGTTTTAATAGATATGAAAACAAATTTTAATAATACTGTACAGAATCGCCACCTAAGTATGCAGAAAGATTAAAGTGAAAAGCAAGGCTATTTTTCTTCCTTGTAGTGTTCCTCAACTTTTATATGCATGCTCAGCAGGTAGAATTCTTGATTTATCAAGTACTATTTCATAATCCAGGTTTGGGTAGCAGGTCCTGTTGGCTGTAATTGTGTTACTATAATAAAAAGGTGGTGATTCTGCCACATACGGAGCCACGAGTAGTTCTATGCCTCCTTTCCTACCCATATAGGGTTAGCTAATGCCTAATAATGAGTGTTTTCTAGAGCAAATCTCCTCCATGTGCTATTTAATTACATCACAGATTGCCAACATAAACCTTTACACCAATTTCTACTCCTCATCTGCAACTCTTGATATATAAGATTCAGACCAAGAGTTTAGGAATTCACTGGAGTTCTGGATGACTCAACATGTATTTTCCTGTATTAGAAATGTTCATGTATTTCAGACATGGATGTTCTGGATGTTTTTCTTTTTTTGTTCATGCATATACTTCAAATACAGAGCTGGAAATTTACTTCTTAATAACCATGATCTTCTACTATTAAAATCTTCCTTGTGGTACCAACTTTCTCAAGATATAATCATGTCTAATCTCTCTTTAAACCATTGTTGTTTTTTTGTTCAATTTTAAGACCCTACATAAAACTGAAAGAGAATGGCCGATCCAATATTTCTCGTTCCTCGTCCAGTACAAGCAGTTTCAGCAGTACAGCTGGAGAGAGTGAGGCCATGGAGGAGTATGAGAGTGTGGTGCGTATTACACAGCCCCAGCAGTTAAACTAAAGGCTAACTTGTTTGTGTGTTCAGCAAATAGACATTTAATCATAATCATAATAGCAAGAACATTTTTTACCCTCAAATTTATTTGGCTGTTCATTGGCCTATGTAGCAGTACCTGCAGGAAAAACATTTTTTTTCTCACATCTCATGCCTGAATAATGGCAGTTGCTGACATGAATACATAGAGATATTTCTTAGCTGACAAATGCACAGAAAATATATTTATAATGATTTATTTATTAACAGCACAAGTTGTGTGCAGTAATGGTAAGCTTCATCAGCTAATTAGAAACCACGTTTAAAAAATAGAACAGACTCATTGAATAAAAACTGGTTTCTGATCCAATGCATTCTTGTAATTCACATATGTAATAATGAATAGGAAGTTACCTGTGGAGTTGATTTATTTTATAGATTCACAGTTTCCCTGGTGATGAGGAATCCTTTGTTTTCTTCCCATTAAATCTCAGTATATATGTAGGATTTTTTTTTCATTGAATTGAGTAGGGAAGGGTAAAGTTATTTTCAGGTTTTTTACAGTCTGTGTCTTGTTGGGGAGATTTTCCTTCACTTTTTGTCCTTCACTTTTTGTCCCAGACACACAACAGAAACTGAGAGGAAATCTCTCCAAAGTTATGCCCACTTGTTTCCAGAATAGGTGTCCCATTGTAAGGCATACCGTCATCTTCTGTGTTCTGGTGAAAACACTAAAACATTGGACAATAACAATGGTCACCAGGACAAAAAGTGCATTGAATTTTCCCAGTGGAGACACATACATCAGTAAAAAATTGGCAGAGGGTCGACCCTTCCCTATTCTATTCAAAATGGTTTGCATTTAGATTGTAAGCTCGTAAGAGTAGGGCCCTCTTACCCCTCGTACATTGTTTGTTGTTGTTGTACTGTGCTTCTGTGTTGTTATGTAGCATAGTATGTTGTGTTGTTTTTATGTATCCACAATGTGTTGGAAACTCCCTTGGCACTGGAGAAGTTGGGACTGTCATAATTCAAATATTGATTTAATACAAGCTAATTGTTTCACAGAAAATCCAGTTGGATTAAACATGTGTTTATGCAAGAAGTGTTGGATTCTATTAATACATTGTATTATAGAACACAGAGCAAATGAGTGATGTGACAGAGTGCTCTATCTATGTCCTGAGGATACAAAAGTGACATACTCTTCAGTGTGCAATCTTGATCTAAAAGATAGAATGAGGAGCCATTGAATCCAAGAGTAGATCAACTCATTGTCAAGATATAAAACATACTGAAGCTTACAAGGGTTCTAGTTGGCAGCTGACAGACCTCACTGTCAAGATATAAACCATACTGAAATGTACAAGGGCTCTAGTTGTCAGCTGACAGTAACTAATAGTCCTCTAGGGTTTTTTTTAGGTGAAATCCAAGAGATACAGAAAAAAAAAAAAAAAAAACAAATGTTGAGATTTTACTTCATAATAAAATCTCAAAAGTAAAAACCAGTGGGGTTCTAATTGGCCCCTTCACCCTTCATAAGGGCTTTTAAAAGTTTTTGTAATTAGTTTCTGGAACCTGTGCTTAACATATTAACATTTATCCTATTGAACTCATTCAAGCCTGAGACCATCCAGATTTTTGCCAGCAATTTTAAGCCCTGGTAAATGTATTGACCTCTCATTTTTAATATGAAATAAAATTTCCATAGTCTCTCAAACAATTTGTCTGGCACTCCTCTTTTAGCATAAACCTATTAACAACCCATATGACTTACTTTCATTGTAATCATTTGTGCAGTCTGGTCCTATCCATAACTTGTCTATTTCTGAATCAGTTGAATGCAGCTTTATCTTAATATATTTTTACAAACATTTTCCACAGGGCAGCCAGCCATTGACCGCATCACCATACAAACAGGAAGTGTTTGTCTACAGTCCGTCGCCTAGCCATGAGAACCATACTTCCTCTACCCCCGTAATCATGAGCAGGAGCCCCACAGGTGCTTCTCTAACTAAACTTTACCAAAAAGTGACCTAAAGTAGTGGAAAATAAGTAGAGAAAAGTTTTAGATAAATTGTCTATTTGTACTTGACTGGAAATATCTTTGGAAAAAAAAACATTTTGTCTTTTGCAATTTGTAGAATTCAGACATCCATTGTTAAAGCAGACCTATCATATAACCATTAAAGTGAACATGTCACTTTGACAGTAAGGCTTAGGAACAGATTCCTACATGTGCTGTGCAGAAATCTTTTCATTTACAGCCCTGGAATACATAGTCCTATGTAAGTTACAACTCTGACAACTGTAGCTTACATGGGACAGTACTTTGCTGTAGGCGGCAGAGGTGCAAAAGGAAGGTTAGTATATCCTTGCAAAGGGCCATGTTTGCCTCACAGGATGCTCAGGTGTTCTGTGTATCTGTACAGGCAGTCCCATTCATGGGTCTATTGGGGACACAGCAGCTGCTCAGACAAAGACACACTGCTTGCAGTTTGACATCCATGTGGGTGCGGGCCCTGAATGTAAATATTGTAAGTTCGAGGACACGCACCCGCACCCACGTGGATGTCAAATTGAGAGCAGCCACTGTGTCCCAATAGACATGGACAGGACTGCCAGCATGCGCATGCACAGAACACCTGTGCTACCCGTGTGGGCAAACACAACCTTTCATCATGTACACTTAAGTGTGAGTCTATGAAACAAGGCCTAAATGCTGCTGGGTAAGTCTTAGTTAAAACTGAACATATTGCTTTGGCCTTTGCCATGGGGTAAAAAGCAGGTTCACTTCAAAGTATCATTCAGCCCTGCTTGAATTCTTTTCTCCTGAACTGCTGAACACCTCTTCAGTATGTTATGGAGATGATCACAGTGGGGAGGTATTCTGCTGTCCAGCAGAGGATAAATGAGTGGGGCTGATATCACAGTTTGGGATTTTAGTGCAACAAAGTCATATTTGTCAGTTCAAACATGAATGTAGATATGTACTGTATATATATACTGTGTGTGTATATGTATGTATTATATATATATGTATGTATATATATATATATATGTATGTGTATATATATATATATATATATACACACACAGTGGGGAACATACTTATTTGATCCCCTGCAGATTTTGTAGTTTGCCCACTTACGAAAAAAAGTAAGGGTCTATAATTTTTATCATAGGTTTATTTTAAATGATAACGGCAGAATATCAACCAAAATCCAGAAAATACACAATACAAATGTTATAAATTGAGTTGCAGTTCAGTGAGTAAAATAAGTATTTTATCTCCTACCAACTAACAATAATTCTGGCTCCCACAGACTGGCTATGTGCTCATATGGTACACAGATTAGTCCTGTCAATTTAAGAAGGTTCTCCTAAGGACAGCTCGATATGTGTATAAAAGACACCTGTCCACATAATCTCTTTCTTCCATTAAACCTCAATACCAATGGGCAAAACCATGGAGCTGTCAAAAATCATCTGGGACAAGACTGTAAACCTGCACAAGGCTGGAATGGGATATAAGACCATCAGCAAGAAGCTTGGTGAGAAGGAGACAATTGTTGGAGTGATTATTTGCAAATGGAAGAAATACAAAATAACCATCAATTGCCTTCAGCCTGGAGCTCCGTGCAAGATTTCACCTCATGGGGTAAAGATGATCATGAGAAAAGTGTGGGATCAGCCCAGAACTACACGGGAGGAGCTTGTGGATGATCTCAAGCCAGTTGGGACCATAGTCATCAAACAAACCATTGCTAACACAATACACCGCCATGGATTGAAATCCTGTAGCGCCCGCAAGGTCCCCCTCACCAAGAAGGCACATGTACAGGTCCATCTGAAGTTTGCCAGTGAACATCTAAATGATTCAGAGAAGGATTGGGAGAAAGTGCTGTGGTCAGATGAGACCAAAATTGAGCTCTTTGGCATTAACTCGACTCGCCGTGTTTGGAGGAAGAAAAATGCTGACTAGGCTTTGAGGCTGTTTCTCTGCTAAAAGTACAGGCTGACTTTGCCGCATTGAAGGGCCAATGAACGGAGCCATGTATTGTAAAATCTTGGATGAGAGCCTTCTTTCTTCAGCCATAAAACTGAAGATGGGTCGTGCATGGATCTTGGAGCATGACAATCACCCAAAACATACCACCAAAGCAACAAAGGAGAGGCTCAAGAAGAAGCACATTAAGGTCATGTAGTGGCCTAGCCAGTCTCCAGACCTTAATCCTATAGCAAATTTATGGAGGGAGCTGAAACTTCAAGTTGTCAAGCAGCAGCCAAGAAACCTTAAGGATTTACAGAAGATCTGTAAAGAAGAGTGCAGCAAAATTCCAAAATCTGTGCAAACCTGGTAACTAACTACAAGAAACATCTTACCTCTGTGCTTGCCAAGAAGGGTGTCTCCACCAAGTACTAAGTGATGTTTTGTTTGGGGATGAAATACTTATTTTACTCACTGAACTGCAACTCAACTCATAACATTTGTATCGTGTTTTTTTCTGGATTTTTGGTTGATATTTTGTCTCCTCTATCATTTAAAATACACCTATGATAAAAATTATAAACCCTTCATTTCTTTATAAGTGGGCAAACTTACAAAATCTGTAGAGGATCAAATAATTATTTTCCTCACTCTATGTATATATATATATATATGTATATATATATATATATATATATATATATATATATATACATATATATTATATGTATATATATATACATACACACACACACACACACACACTCATCGACCACTTTATTAGGTACACCTGTTCAATTGCTTGGTAGAACAAATTGCTAATCAGCCAATCACATGGCAACAAAAATGCATTTAGGCATCTAGACATGGTGAAGACAACTTGCTGAAGTTCAAACTGAGCATCAGAATTGGGAAGAAAGGGGATTTAAGTGACTTTAAATGTGGCATGATTGTTGGTGCCAGACGGGCTAGTCTGAGTATTTCAAAAACTGCTGATCTACTGGGATTTTCACACACAACCATCTCTAGGGAAATTGAGACTTACTTGACCAGACAAAATTTTTTCCAATCTTCTATTGTCCAATTTTGGTGAGCCTGTGTGAATTATAGCCTTTGTTTCCTGTTCTTAGCTGACAGGAGTGGCACCCAGTGTGGTCTTCTGCTGCTGTAGCCCATCTGCTTCAAGGTTCAACATGTTGTGCATCCAGACATAGTATTCTGCATACCTTGGTTGTAATGAGTGGCTATTTGAGCTACTGTTGCCTTTTTATCATCTTGAACCAGTCTGCCCATTCTCCTCTGACATCAACAAGGCATTTTCATCCACACAACTGACACTCACTGGATATGTTCTCCATTTCAGACCATTCTCTGTAAACCCTAGAGATGGTTGTGCGTGAAAATCCCAGTAGCAGTTTTTTTAAATACTCAGACCAGCCAGTCTGGCACCAATAACCATGCCCACGTTAAAGTAACTTAAATCCCCTTTCTTCCTTATTCTGATGCTCGGTTTGAACTGATTGGCTGATTAGCAATTTGTGTTACTAAGCAATTGAACCTAATAAAGTGGCCGATGAGTGTATGTGTGTATATATATATATATATATATATATACATACTTTTTGTCTGTTACCATAGTTGTGTTATTAGAAGATTAGACTGGGTTGGGTGTTTCAGGCTCACTTTTTATTCTGCGCTTCCGAATATCGCTTCATATGCACCATATCAAAAAATTCCATGTGTTGCAATATAAAGGCTAGAGTTAAATGAGAGGTGAAGTTGGTACAGTGGGGGGAACTTAATATCTTAATTCCTTTGGCATTAGTAAAAGTTAAATCCTTAAAAGGCCTTAAAAGGTCTATCCTTACCACCTCCAAACTGCAAGTGCACTGTAACAGGTGGTTACAAATATATATAAAACATATAAACAGAAAAAGTCAGAGGCCTATTATTAAGAAGGAGTTAACTAAAAAGGACAGAAGTAAAAGAAAAAAAAGCAACTGATGTTCTTAGTGAAAAATCACGTTTCTTGTTTTATTTATGGAAAAATAAAGAATCTGATTGGTTACTTTGGACAATAGCTCCACTTTGTTCCCTTTTTTCTCTTTGTTATAAATAGCCTTAAGTAGTGTCTCACAAGTAGTGAATTCTGAAGGTAATGCTTGGGCTCTTTATTAAAATAAAAATAGAACTTTCACTTTAAGTCAACTAACTACATTCCAGGTGCATGTAATCAAAAGGTGCTCAATGTCTTACCGTTCAATTTCTTTCTAATGCAGCTACAGTTGCATAGAAAGGCCTGCCCCCTGTCAACAGCTGCATAATAGGACTGTTACTCTCTGTGGATAAGTAGTAGTCTCTCTTCCACACCCCCTACCAAGTCAGATCTATAGCTCATGTTTTCCGCTGATTAAAGGACTCTGGCATTGACTCAGTAGGGGGGCATGTCGGACATCTGCAGATTGACCACTGCTTTCTCTACACCATACAGGCAGGCTTTCTTACTCAGGCTGTGGTTGCTTTACAGTAAACTGTAAGACTTTACACATCTTTTGTTTTGAGGCACCTGCAATGTATTTTGCTAATTTAATGTTGGGATTTAAAATGATCCTGTTACCACAGGGTTGATTTTACACAATGGATCACCTGTAAAAGAAACAGGAATATACTTACTTTTCTGGTGACCAATGTATCGAAAAGCCACCTCTTCTCCTCACCCTAGCTGCTGCAGATATTCAAATGTTAGAAGGAAGTGTTCCACTCATTAAAGTACTTGAGCCACAGTGGCCAGGGGGAAGCAACTATTCAACTCACCCAGTTGGGGAGCAGAGAAGTGGTGGCTTTGCAATATATGGGCCTCTAGAAAGGTAAATATAGTTACACTTATTACAGGCGACCTCTTATGTGAAATTTTCCCTAGGGTGACAGGGTCACTTTCAGCAGTCTGACAATTTTTGCTGTAATGCTTCTGTTCCATGCTGACCCTGACCAAGACCCAAATTACAATGGTAGAAATCATGAAATAAAGTTAATACATGACAAATATAACTACATCATAGTATGTCTAAGTGGTATAGTCATTATGCTAAACACTCCCTTCCATAATGTAGAAAATGTTTAAAGTGGAACTCTGTGCCCAGAACTGTTCTTTAGTTTGGGGTTAACTGTGTTCGACCACATTGTGGAATTTTTTTCCTCCCCCCCCATCATACCATGACATGGCTCTGCTGTGAAATTCATGGTTCCTCCAGCATTATTTTGTTTCTAGTCCAGCTCTATTCCTTAGTCAGAAACCTGGTTTCCATGGTCTTGTGGTAAATTGAAGGAGCTGAAAGGGGGTAAAACCTTGATTCAATTAACCCAGAACTAAAAAAAAATCCATAAATGCACTAACAAGTTTCCACTCTAAATTAGCATAGAAACCACTGAAGTGCACATCTGATGGTTTTTCCTTCTCACAGATATAAAGAGTAGAAATTCCCCAAGATCCAACCTCAAATTTCGTTTTGATAAACTCAGCCAGTCAAGTTCCGGCTCCAGTACAGTAAGTAGATGTGTCACGCAATCCAGCTCTAGATAGCATGAGCTAGCTGTTCTAGTGTGTGGCTTGGCCGAGGTTGTGCATTTTTTCAGCTTGGAAAGTCAGCTTGGTGTGACTCAATCATCCATCATACCTATAAGGTGCCTAGAAAGTTGTGTTTTAATTCCAGAAAGGTTTTTGTCACAGACATATTGATGTCTTTTACAACAGTGATGGGCACTTACTGTCAGTATGTGATGTCTTAAAAATGTAAATGGGTTAAGATAATAAGTTTTGTTTTGCAGACTTAGTCTTGCTTTGGAACGCTCTGTGATATATCAATACCTGTGCATTTCATGAGTGCTTTTAAGCACTTTTTTAATGCACTTTCATAAAAATGTACTTTTTATAGAGTTCAATGATAATGCACCTAAAACGCAGATGTGAATCCGGCCTTTTCCTGTATTACTAAATATTAGTATTACTAAAATATTGCTTGATTTGCCCCCAACTTTATAAAAAAACAGTTAAATACTACACCACCTGACCATTAGTTTTTACAGGAAAAGTGTTTGTATTTTCAGGATCAAATGTTTTCAGAGGAAAGAAAATACTATACATATTATTGGTAGTGCAACATATGAAATTCTTACTAGACAGAAATAGCCCCAGGGCTTATTAGAAACTGCTATGTCAAACGTAGGGGTTGATTTACTAAAGGTGAATAGACTGTGTACTTTGCAAGTGCAGTTGCTCCAGAGAGGAGTAAATTTTGCTTGCACATGATTGGATGGTGGAGCTCCCCCCTCATTTACTAAGCTCTGGAGTGCACAGTCTATTTGCCTTTAGTAAATCAACTCCATAGAGAACAAAGGAAATGTATTCACAAAATAGTTATTGAAATTGCTCTTTAAGGCATATTATGCTTCATGCTTTGCTACTTGAACTGTGTAAAGAAGCCCATTTTTTCTTAAAAGTTTGAATTTCATAATCGTTTTCAGGCTGGCTTCCCAGTTATGTGTTACAGTAATGCATTCATCAACACATCACATGATGTTATCCTCTTCCATCACTTGCAGGCCAGCCTGTATCTTCCTTGATTCCCTGCAATTAACCAGATGCCAAGGCTCTGAAGTCTGTCCTTTCTCCATTGCAATCCAGCATCCAAATACAGGCAACACACCGAAGACGTTTAACTCCAGCCAAAGCTTTATTGCAAGCACACTGCTCACTTCTACCAAAAGCCATATCCCCAACATGTTTCACCCACAGCAGAGCAGATGATTAAGCTGCTGAGGGCATGGTTCTGGGGGGGAGTGACCGATGGGCTGTTATTTCAATAAACTTTGGCTGGAGTCAAACGTCTTTGGTGTGTGGCCCAGTATTTGGATGGTACATGGTGCCATTTATTTTAAATAGAACCCCAAGTACTAAAGTATGACTACCTGTGTTGCAGTGCACCTCAGAGCAAAGTCCTTCATGGTGAGTTGGCAGTACATTCAAATGAACGGACTGCCTTAAAGTGCTTGTAAACCCTTACATATACCCAGTGAAGTGACTGGCTAAGATGATACACAGAGATGAAACAAATCCTCCTATATATGTTGTACTTGTTTATCTGCAGTTTTCTCATTTCTACATCCCTTCAAAAGGGCTGAATTTAGATAAATTCCTTTTAAGTTTGTCAGTAACACAGAGGAGGGGGCGGAGAGGTGCAGTTAGAGCTCTTGTAAACTGCATGAGTGCTGATTGGAGGAAAGGGATGCACCCTCCTCCACACACTGCACAGGAAGAAAGGAACATGTAGAGCTGTGTTGTGAGTAGATAAGCTGTGTGCTGAGCTCTCTTCCCCTTCACAATTTTATCTTTGGTGTCAGAAAACCATCTCAGAAGTGAACATGCTGATAACAAAAGAAGGAAGCACCAGGGAGAAATGACACTCAGAGCTTTGGAGACAATAAAACACTGCAGAAATATGTGCTTTGTTCAGATGTCATGACTGAGGTTTACAACCACTTTAACGCAAAGCGCAATTTAACATACCCCATGAGACTGTAAAGTGTGAGTGGGGACTCATGAATGTAAGTGCCAAGTGTCATGAATGTAAGTGCAAAGTGTTCCAATCCATTTTGTTCAATATTAGATCATGGTGAACCATGACACTTACAGTATCTAAAGCCAAAATATTAATTTTTAAAAACTAATTTTAGATTTATGTTAAAACCCATGTCAAGTATTCTTGGCATCAGTGCTTTATTGGGGAAAAAAGACTTCACTTCCTGCCCCATAGACAAAGCAAAAGTGAGAGGAAATTTCTCCAAAAATAGGGAAAAACCCATGCTTAGACATTTGCCACCTGAGCACGTTTACCCATTGGAAGATTTCCTCTTTATTCCCCTTCTGATTACACCTTTCAAATCCATATGATTTGTAATGTGCCATCAGACAGTCATCACTGGTCACATAGAGAGAAGATAAATTTCACCACTGGGAAAACAGAAAACATTAAAAACTTGACAGAAGTTCTAACCTTGAGTTTTTGCTGGTGTGTGTGCCCACTCCTCTGTGCCAAAGCTGCTCAATTCCCATCATGCACTGGAACATTCAATGTTTTGGTATTTGTAGCTGTAATGTCAGTTACAAGTAGATAAGGGGCACAGACAGAAAATTTCAGGGGTGTACTTGGCAATAAATAAGCTGGTTCCTATTCCAAAGAAAGTAGAAGAAAGTGTTAATAACTCATGTTAGTCATTTTAAAGCTTCTACTTTAAACTTAATATCCTGTTTATCAGTTATTTATTTTTCTGATTATTATTTTGAAGAGTTTGCAGTATTTTATTTTATCGGTCAAAGCTTATTCACCCTTTAACTAAAAGTTATGATTGTTGATCCAATACTAACTTTGCACATCACTCATTATATGGTCCCATATTGCCTCTGCATGAAAATGGCAATATGAAATGCAAATAATCCAGTGCCTGAGAGCTTTGCAATACATAAAGGGCTTAGCAGTCATGGCTTATAACCTGTGGTCATTATGAGTATCGACATGAATTTCTTTATTTATACATTGCATTACATTCGTACTACAGTGCAAACACAAGGTGGTAACTCTCAGTTTTCCAAGCCACCTTTTCTATACTTGCTACAAAGTGTCTTAAGATAAGGTACTGTGTATATTATTATTTATTATAAATATTATATTTTTTAACTAAACTCCACATTTTTCATTTTGTAATGACCACAAGTATACCTTTGTATTAATAATGACATCTATTATGTTTCCTGACATTTGAAAATCTATAAAGGGTTAAATTAAACTTTTACTTTTAATTATTACTGTGCCAAAAATGGGTGTATGGGCTAGTAAGGTAAGACTTTTGTTTCTACGCATTTACACAGAATATAGGGATTAATTATTGCATTGTATTGTCACAGGGAATTTATAGTGGTCATAACTGATCATTTAGATATACATGTAAATTATTATTATCAGTTAGCAATGTGTGTTAACTATTGCAATGTATAGTTTGTAGGGAAAAAATATACTGTATATACAGTATATAATATATGCAGCCATATTCTATCATTGGATAGGCAAGCTTTACTTCCTCCATGTGCTTTATTGCCCCTTCCCACAGGTTTATACCCTTTTGGTTGCTTTATTTAAAAAATCTGAAACCTCATACTCAGTCATTTGATGAGGGAGAAGTCACTGCTGTGATGGCTCATTCAGTTCTGTAGGTTTGATTCTCTCAGCATATCTAAAAGTTACAATAGCTGAAAATGTGGAAACAAGACTAGAGTGCCGTCTGCTGATCTGGTTCAAAGACTACATGGTATTACTATGCAATTTTTTTTTTGTGTGTGTCTTGACTATGTATATATGTGTGTATATATATATATATATATATATATATATATATATATATATATATATATATATATACACACAAAACCCCTGTGAAAAACACTTCAAATAAATGGAAGAAGTTATTTTGATTGCAAATATATAAATGAGACAGGCAAATGGCAAAGAAATTAAATACACCCTTTTACGAACTGACACTTCCTGCTGATAGCCTGCTGTTTACCCTCAGCTGTTGCTGCAGTTCAGTATTTCATTGTTTTTTCATTGTTTGGCTATGTGCATAGTGCAGCATGTTCTTGTTGTACAGTAAAGATAAAATACTAGGCTATCATTTAGCATGTGCGTGTAGAACACACCATCACTTATACTATTTCTACACTGACTGTCTTTTTTTTATTTGCTTTGCAGTGAGTTCAAGACTAGTGAGACTTTAACTACCATCTTGAGAACTGACCTGAAAGGGTATGCTCACTCCACGAATAGTTACTGCCACAACGCATTCAAGGAAATGTTCAATTACTGCGCTGTTCCCCACGAATCAATGAAAGAACTGCCATCTTAGTGCACTCTTTGTGTCCACACTTGTCACACTTGTCTTGTGAACGGAGTCTTGTCTGATAGTGGACTTAACTCTTTTTCATTTCATTCTTTTATCTTGTCTGAAGCAAAGACCATGTTTTACTTGATACATCCTACTTACACAGTCTACGTGCACTGGTTTGTTGTAATTATCAGGGAAGACCACTGGAATTCTCACCACAATCCTAGGCATTCTACCTAGAGGTGGTGCTTCATGTTTAATTTACCGATATTACCAAATGCTGCTTTTCCATCTTCCAGGATATATGGAAATCTTTCTGAGGCTTGCAGAGTCCCCTTCATTGTTGCCATATCATAAGGTTATATCTACAGTGCTATACAAAACATGGCTGTACAATAGTCATTGACCACACAAAATATATGTGCAAAATTATCCTAATGGTTTAGAAGTTTGAACAATTATTCAGCTTAAATGTTACTTACATGAATGTCCTATGTCCTAAGTCAAAGCTGCAATAGAGCTTTCCAGACCATAGTATACTAAATATGTTTGGGGATTTTAGGGAGGAACTTCATTTAAAATGTACTTAAAGTGCTTTTCTGGGATTGATGT